GCCTCCACCGGTCTTCTGGCCCACTGTGCCTCGCCGCCGCCGACGGTGTCCTTCCCACTCCACAGCCACAGCCCACGCGAGGCTAGGTTTCCAGGGGGTGAAAAATAGGGCACGTGATACGGCCCCTGGCGGTGGCAGTGTGGTGGCGGAGCGGTCCGAGGCGACGCCAGCGCGCAGCGACACGCCGGCAAAAATCGGCGTTAAATCAATGGCTGCACGGCGTGGGGCGTAAATCAATGCGCACTGCTTTTCCCGGGCAAGGCTGCCGCGAGCCTCGGCGAGCCGCCACCAGTGTAGCCACACCGCAATCCAGAATCCAGCGACGCACGCTTTTTCACCCGCCCTCCATCTCGATGACCATCGTGACGCCGACCACGAGGACGCACAGTGGGCCAGAAGACCGGCGCTGGCGGCCAAAACCCTAAACGCGTTTTGAGCTCTAGAGTCGCTTACCAGGACTCGAACCGAGCGTGTGACCCTACCAATGGATTCCTCGTTCGGAGAGCAATCCATCGGTGGTGTCACACGTTCGGTTCGAGTCCCATTTAGCGACTCTGGAGCTCAAAACGCGTCCGGGGTTTCGACCGCCCCCGCCGGTCTTCTGGCCCACTGTGGGACGGCGACGGCCCCGAGGGCGGCGTCGACGACCTGCCCCTGTCCCTCGCTAAACGAGCTTCGTCCTCGCTCGCGCCTCACGCCCCGCTGACCACACGCGCCGCGCGGTGCGCCGTGGCCGCCGTGGCACTGCACCGCCTTCCGGCCCAACGCCCCGTAACGCGCAGCCCTGCCCGGCCCGGCCCGGCCGCATCCACGTAACACGTAACGCCACGCAACCCGACAGGAAGACCACCGCCAGCCACCGCGACGCGCAGCACGGCCAAGCACCGCCAAGCCGGGGAAGACACTCGCGCGGTCACAATTAGCAAAGACACACACGAAGAAAGAGAGAGAAAGGGAGAGATAAGCGGATAAAAAGGTTGCCGTCGGCGGACGCCATGGGATACACACGTCAGATTACAACCCTAAAGTGAACCTTTCAAGGTTCAATTGAAACTTGAATTGCGCTCTGGAGACTTCCCATCAAATTCTGGTGAACTAATGATTAAATTATAAAATGGATTGAAAACCACGTAAGGGCTGTATGTAAGGGGTGTAAATTTGTACTAACAGGGTGGGCGGAGGGAGAGGGAGGAGGACGAGGAGGAGGACGAGGAGGAGGACGAGGAGGACGAGGAGGAGGGGGAGGAGGACGAGGAGGACGAGGACGAGGAGGGGGAGGAGGACGAGGAGGAGGACGAGGAGGACGAGGAGGAGGACGAGGAGGACAGGACGAGACGCAGGAGGACAGAGGCGAGGAAGGAAGGACGAGGAGGAGGAAGGGGAGGAGGACGAGGAGGAGGACGAGGAGTAGAAGGGGGAGGAGGACGAGGAGGAGGGGGAGGAGGACGAGGAGGACGAGGAGGAGGAGGAGGAGGGGGCCTTGCCCTCGGGTCCACATTCACAGGAGCCCTTCCCCACCCCCACCCCCTTTTCCCGGAAGCGTCCCCCCTGAATCATTCAGAGCGTGTTTATGACGCAAGGAACGCCCAGCGCAGTGGACAGGTCACTGCAGGGCACGCCGCCAACCGGACACACACACACATGCACACACAGACAGGCAACACCGCAAAAAAAAGAAACAGAAAGAAACAGAAAAGAAACCAGTCGCCAACATCTTTGTTTTCCCCGCAGCCACTTTAACTGCCTTGAGGCAGGGCAGGGCCGGCGAGGCCCCAATCCCACAGGGTACCGCAGAGTACCTCGGGGGAGTCACTTTTACTGTCTGTCACACAGTGTGCACCTGCACTGCCATGCACTGCCTTGCCCCGTACACACGGACTGCGTCAGCGAGCCGAGGCACTTAAGCCCCGCGTGCCGTGGCGCCCCCCGGCGCACCGGCGCGCCACGGTCTCACTCACACACACACACACACATGTGCAAACACACACAAGCAGAAAGCCACTTTTATTTTCAGAATAAGGGTTTAGACTAGAGAAGAGACTGCACATTTCACTGCTGACCCACGAGTTCCACCAATGTCTCTGAGGTATTTTCCCTGACATTTAAGACCGAAATTTCAGAACTTCCATAAGCTTGCCACAAGACAAAACCTTTTCAAAAAAATAGTTTGAAAGTAATCGAAGTTTTGAGATCTCATTTTTTCACAACTGACTAAAATTTTCCCTGACTTTTCAATGACTTACATAACTAAAAATTATTGTCCCCGACTGCCCCTGACTTTGCCGGTTTCCCAGACTTGTGGGAACACTGTAAGCCTCTTCGCCAATTACGTCAGCTTTCATTGGTGACGGGGATGATCCTTTCCCGTGGACCAGCAGACTGATTCCGAGAGTCGTCTTCGTCGCTCTGTCTCTCTCGCACTCATGGCGGCGTCCCGCAAGGTGCGACAGAGACAGCGCGACGAAAACGACTCTCGGAATCAGTCTACAGAATACCGGTGGGATCCAGCCAGCTGGAGCTTGGCGAAAAAAAGTAACGCGTCTCGGCAACGACAGGGCGGACAGGCCGGCGCTGCACAGTGTGCCGGAACCCGGCGGATCGGCAGATCAATAATTCAGGACGGGGATGGCGGCACTGCGGCACCGGTAATGCGTCCAGTTCGTTTACAGCGGCGCGGCTAAGTTTGAGGAATGCTCGCGGCGACGCGCCGACGGAGACATTAAATTTTAAAAAAACGCAGCACGTCACTCACTCTTCGGCCTTGCGAATGGCGGTGGCGCACAGTGGGCCAGAAGACCGGTGGAGGCGGCCAAAACTCTAGACGCGTTTTAAGCTCCAGAGTCGCTAAATGGGACTCGAACCGAGCGTGTGACCCCACCAATGGATTGCTCTCCGAACGAGGAATCCATTGGTGGGGTCACACGTTCGGTTCGAGTCCTATTTTGCTACTCTGCAGCTCAAAACGCGTCTAGGGTTTCGGCCGCCTCCGCCGGTCTTCTGGCCCACTGTGCCTGGACTCGCCAACGCCAAACAGTGCAAGCGGACGAGAAGGCATCACGCCGAGTCGGTGATACGGTTTGCATTTAGTCGCGTCGGGGACCGTCCAGGCTGCTTGCACTTTCTCTCTCCGCGCAGACACACGTCCCGTCGCCGCGGAAGTAGAGTAACCCCTCCCCCCCCCTCTTTCCCCGCCGGCGTCAGAAAGCGCGCCAAATTTAAATCCAACATCTCCCAGCCCCGCCGGCGCGACACCGCAAGAGCGAGTTGAGCGACGGAGTACTAACTGCGGTAGCATCATCGGAGGCGCTGCCACTTGGATCGCGACAGAACAAACGACACTTGTTCGGCTCACCTCAGCCGGCCACGACCGAAGCCCCGAGCATCACGCACCACAACGTAAGGGAGAGTGGGGCACCTCCTGCCAGGGGCACCTCCTGCCAAAGTGCTGTGGGGGGCAAACCACTCGCACTGTTGAGCAGCCAATTTGGTTAAATCAAGGTATGACCATATGCACCTCAATGCCAAAAAGTGGTTACGGTCAGATTAAAATTGTAGCCCTAGTGTGAAATCAAACTTTAAAAGATAAGATTTCGAGCACTTTTCTGACATTTTGACTATAATGTGTCCTCTGACAGTCACTTCCAATGTTCGGGTATCAAAAAATGGTTTTCCTGTCCGATAGTTGGTATTTTTAGGAGCATTTTGCAACATTGGGATGACATCAGCGGTGCACCGATAAAGTGCTGAGGCCAATTTTCTCTCATGCATGGCGTGGGGCACCTACTGCCACTTTTGGCTGGGGCAGGTACTGTCACCTTAAAATCCCTTAATTGGCAAAAAAATTTCATGCCAAACTGAGTTCATGTTTAGTTGAGGGCACCAGTATGATTTCGGGGAACAAGTAACGTGAATATGAGTGGGATAATACCTGTTTTGACATTGCAACAGCTTTGATTTTCAAATAACCACGTTTGGGTTGACCTTTCTACCGCAGCACCACTGAGGATATGTTTGAACAGCTCCAAATCGACGAGAAGCTCGTCTTTCTGACCAGTAATGATTTTATCACCATAAAATGATCAATTGGCCACAAAATTTAGGTTCAAGGACCATCCACTCTCCCAGGGAATACTCGCCCCGCCCCTTGGCAGGAGGTGCCCCTGTCCCTGGCAGTAGGTGCCCCGGGCCGGGGCACCTACTGCCAATTGCAGAGGTGCTTAGAGTAGGAGATAACTCTACATAAACGTGACATATTTTAGTTTCTATCAACGGGTTATTATAGATTAAGGACCAATGAAGTTTTCTGACTACACATATTCGTCACCAAGTAGAAACAACGCAAACCAGAGACAAAATCCAAAAAGTGGCAGGAGGTGCCCCACTCTCCCTTACCTGGAAAAGGAGAGGGGTCATTAAAACTGTGAAGGCGAGAATTTAAAACACACGAAGGTTATAGGTTCAGCTCCTGAACAATCAAAATAAACGATTAATCGAAATGCGAGCTGCCTCCAAATTCGTGCTCCACCCGCAAATGTGTGTTTGAAACATCATGATTGACGTGAACCTAGCGCTGCTGGCTGACCTCAGTTCTCTTTGGCCCCACACTGGAACAAAGGTTCAACGCCCGGCATCGCCTGGAGCCGTGCTGGAGCGAGCTGCAGCCCGAAAGTGGGCAAGCCATTGCACGCCAGTGCACGATGGGTTGCCTACACTGGAGTCGCAGGGGTCCAGAACCCCCAAACAGTGGAGCAGAAGACCGGTGGAGACGGACAAAGCTCTAGACGCGTTTTGAGCTCCAGAGTCGCTAAATGGGACTCGAGCCGAACGTGTGACCCCACCAATGGATTGCTCTCCGAACGAAGAATCCATTGGTGGGGCAGATGCTTGGTTCGAGTCCTGTTTAGCGAACTCAATACGCATCTTGAGTTTTGCCGCCTCCGCCGGTCTTCTCTGCCCCAGCCAACGCCCTGGCCCTAACCCCGGCCCCCCTTGTGTTGCAGATGGTGCGGCCGACGTGCCTGGGCCCGGGCCGGCCGCCGCCCCTGCTGCTCGGCGCCGTCCTCGTCATGCTGGTCGCGCTGCTGCTGCCGAGCGCGCTGTGCCGCGGCCCCGGCCGCGAGACCCGCGGGGCGCGGGCCGCCAGGACGCGGGCCTCCCACCCCGGCGGCCTCGGCGGCGTGCAGTACGGCGCCAGGATCTCGCCGCTGCTGCGGGCGCAGCGCGACGACGACACACTGCTGCTGGCCGCGGCGGGCGGCGGCGCCGACAAGGACAAGGACAAGGACGACGACGACGAGGACCGCAAGACGCTCTCGCAGCAGGTGGCCGAGGGCAAGTACGGCCTCATCCAGAAGGAGCTGTTCGCCACGCCGCCGCGGCGGCCCGGGGTGCTGAGCTACGCCGCCAACCCCGAGGTGCCGCGGGACACGGCGGCCAACCTGGGCGGCCTGGACGAGGAGGAGATCTGGCTGGCGGAGGACCACCTGCTGGTGCTGCGCGGCGGCGCGTTCCGCGACAAGCCGGAGCAGCAGACGCAGCCCTGGCCCGCCATCGACGACTACCAGGCGCCGCCGCGGCAGGTCAAGCTGCCCGCGCACCCGCGCGTGCCGCCGCCCTTCCCCGTGCAGCTGTCGGACCACGGCCCCACGCAGTTCCTCACCTCGGCCAACGGCACGCCCGCCTTCCAGCCCGGCTTCATCCCCCTGGTGCCCTACAACGGCACGCTCGTCGTGCCGCCTTTCCCGCTGCCGCCCCGGGGCTGGGGCCGGGGCTGGGGCCCGGGCTGGGGCTGCCGCCCGGACTGGCGCCGGCCGGCCCCGGGGGCGGCTACCTGGTGCCGCTGCCCTTCCCGCCGCCCAACGCCTCCCTGTCGCTGCTGCAGTCGCTGCCCCCGGGGGCGGCCTTCCTGCCGCCGCCGCTGCCGCCGTCCAACCTCAGCGAGCCGCTGGACGAGGACGACCCCTCCATCTACTATCCGCCGCCCTACGACTTCTACTACCCCAAGGATAACTCGTCGGCGGTGCCGGCGGGGCCGCTGGTGCCGGGCATCATCCTGCCGCCGCCGCCCGACTTCTTCGCGCCGCTCGACCCGCCGCCCTCGTCCACCACCACCAGCGCGCCGCCCACGCGGCCGCGCAGCCGCCGGCCGCCCAGCAAGTTCCGGCCGTCGCTGCCCTTCCCCGCGCACCCCGAGAACGAGGTGGACGCGCCCCGCGACGCGCCCGCGCTGCCGCTGGCCGAGGGCCCCGGCGAGTACGGCGCCGGCCCCGCGGACTACGAGGGCTACGACTACCGGCGGCCCAAGCAGCAGCACGGCGACGTCTTCCAGACCGTCAAGCTGCAGCAGCACGTCAAGGTGGCCGACGACGACGAGGAGGCCACGACGGAGCGCACCGTGCTCATCGGCGGCAGGCGGCCGTACCCCGCGCCCGCGCCGACCCCCACCCCCACGCCGCGCCCCTTCCTGGTGACGGTGCGCAAGCGCGTGCGGCCGCGGCCCACCACGCCGCCCCCGACGCCGCCGCCGACACCGCCGCCAACGGCGCCGCCGCCAGAGCACCACTTCTACACCAACTTGGTGTCGCCCACGGCCGAGCCGCAGCCCATCTACCAGTTCGACTTCACGAGCCAGCGCGCGCCCGTCACGTACGCGCCGCCCGTGGCGCAGTCCGCGCCGCAGCCCGACGACGCCGTCACCGCGGTGCCCGTCACGCAGCTGCCGATCCGCGTCTACGCCGAGCAGTCCTCCACGCAGGCCCCCGCGCCCGAGGAGCTCTCCACGCCCGGCAGCGCGTACCGCGAGCAGGCCGCCTACCCGCAGTACCAGCCCGAGGCCGCCGTCACGCAGCCCCCCAGCGTAGACCACCACGACCAGCGCGTCGCCTTCCGGCCCTACGACCACGTCAGGCACTACGCGCCCACGCCGTCGCGCAAGCCGGCCGCCCAGTACCACGAGGAGCTGGTGCCCATCCGCCAGTACCAGCAGGAGCACCCCGTCACGCCCGTGCGGCAGTACCAGCAGGAGCACCCCGTCACACAGGCGCCCATCAGGACGTACCAGCAGGAGCACCCCGTCACGCCGGTGCGCCAGTACCAGCAGGAGCACACCGTCACTCAAGCGCCAATCAGGCAGTACCAGCAGGAGCACACTGTCACTCAAGCGCCAATCAGACAGTACCAGCAGGAGCACACCGTCACACAGGCGCCCATTCGAACCTACCAGCAGGAGCACCCCGTCACGCAGGCTCCCGTCAGGACGTACCAACAGGAGCACGCCATCAGGCAGTACCAGCAGGAGCAGGCCGTCAGGCAGTACCAGCAGGAGCACCCCGTCACGCAGGCACCGCTCAGGACGTACCAGCACTCCGTCACGCCGGTGCCCTTCAGGCAGTACCAGCAGGAGCACCACGTCACGCAAGTGCCGCAGTACCAGCAGGAGCAACACGTCACGCAAGTGCCGCAGTACCAGCAGGAGCAACACGTCACGCAAGCGCCCGTGCAGCAGTACCAGCAGGAGCACGTGACCCAAGTGCCGATCCGCACCTACCAGCAGGAGCACCCCGTCACACAGGTCCCGATCAGGACGTACCCGCAGGAGCAGGCCGTCACGCAGGTGCCCGTGCGGCAGTACCAGCAGGAGCACGCCGTCACGGGGGCGCCGCTGCGCACCTACCGGCCCGCCAAGCCGGCGCGCGTCAAGGCCGTCAAGGCCGTCACGGTGTACCCGACGACGACGGCCAAGCCGGTGCGCTACTACGACGACAAGGCCACCTTCTACTTCTACGAGGAGCCCATCGTGACGCAGCACCAGGGCGGCAGCGTCAGCACCACCAAGCCGCACCTCGTGTACGAGACCACGACGGTGCTGCCGCCGCAGCAGCCGCCGCAGCAGCAGCACGCCTACTACTACCTGCCCGTCAACAAGACCCACGACTACTTCGCCAACGGCAACGTGGAGGACGTGTACTTCCAGCCGCAGCCGCCGCCACCGCCGCCGCCGCCGCGGTACGTGTACCTGCCGGACTACCAGCCCTTCCGCAGCACGCCGCCGCCGCCGCAGTACTTCCCGCCCAAGTCCGCGCTGCAGTTCTTCAACTCGGAGCCCAAGCCGGGGCCGTCCGCGCTGGCCAAGCCGCCCGTCTTCGAGTTCAGCTTCCAGGCGCAGTCCGTGCAGGACCCAAGCAGGCCGCGCCGCCGCCGCCACCGCCGCCGCCGCGGCTGCAGGGCGGCTTCAAGCCGTCCAGCCGGCTGCCCGTGGGCCTGCAGGGCCTGCAGCAGGTGCCGGCCTTCGCGACCACGCCCAAGCCCACCAGCACCGTCTACACCACGTCCAACCCGCTCTACTACTACACGCAGCAGGACGACTCGGTCTTCGACGACATCACCAAGAAGTACTTCTCCATGTTCGGGCGCAAGCTGCCGGCCGGGGCGGAGGAGGCCGGCGCCCTGGAGGGCGACGACGGGCTGGGCGTCAGCAAGCCGCCGCTGCCGCCGCCCGTGCGCGTCACCACCCCACTGCCAACGCTGCCACTGCCGCCCAGCAGCACGCCGCGGCCCTTCCAGCAGCACCCCGCCGCCGAGGGCGGCTTCGTGCCCATCGTGTCGCTGGCCGACGACACCCTCGTCAACTACCGCCAGCCGCTGCCCGCGCTCGAGCCCCACGCCGAGCTCATCGAGCAGCCCGTGACGCCGGCCGGCCTCGGCCACGGCCTGGGCCACGTCAACGGGCACGTCAACGGGCACGTCAACGGGCACGCGCCAGGCAACGCCTTCATCTCGTATCAGCTGCCCGGCAACGGAGGCCACTTCTACTTCCTGACGCCGCAGCGGCAGCAGCACGGCGCCCAGCACCAGCGCCAGCACCGGCGGCGCGCCCCGCGGGGGCAGAGCGAGCGGCGGAAGCGACGCGAGCGACTCGAGCAGCGCGAGCAGCGCGAGCAGCGGCGATGACATTGTGATAAAGACTGAGACGAAGGGGCGCGTCGTATTTATTCAGTGCTGGTCGGGTCGGCCCTCCGGCCGCCTCCGGAACCACTAACCGCATTCAAACTTAGGCAATTTTATTTTTCACGCCGAAGGCGCGAGGACGTTTTAGTCGATTTTCTTTAGCGGCGGAAGACGAGTGGCTGTCGCGGGCGGTTAACGACCATGAAGGGGACCGACCGAAAGGGAGCGCAGAGCCATAGCTCAGCATGCAGAACAAGTTCAGAGGGCGTGTTCTGATTCCTTGAAAAATGTGATCATTATTTGAACCTAATCAGATTCCTAGCCAACAAATTCTAGGCCAGGCGATTGTGCTGAAATTTAGGCAGATATTGCAAAGTTCAATTAGAATGTTGCTGTTTTAATTTTGAAAATTGTATGCTTCAGAAAGATAAAGCAGACTATTTATTGTAATTGAAAATACTTAAGTAGAAAATACTATTATCTTCCCCGAAATCTTTGTCTTGGCCGCAATACAGGCAACTTCACTTTCAAATACTGTTCTTTTGTAAATATGCTAGACTGTTCAAAATTCTTAAATTTACATTCAGTCCGACTTAAAATTACTAGAATGTAAAGAAAATGTACATTGGTGTAAATTATTTAACACTTTAGCAACTGCCATGTGCTCCTATTGAAAATAAATCTCTGTAAATAAGTGATATTGAATCGCCATAATTATAAATGTAACGTATGCAAGGCTACATAAGGAGAGACTGGTAAGAAAAAGAAACATATGGCAACACAACTCGTGATGACTATAAGAATCATACACAGCTCTAATTGAGGAAGCAGTATTTCATTTTTAAGTAGTCTTCATGGCAATGCAGCAAAACAATTGAGAAAAATGTGAAGCATTAGTTATTACTAATAATCAGCTTTAGAAATGAATCAAGCAAAAAATACTGTGCTCTTCCAAGATGTTCAAATGTCTAAAAAGCAATGCCAAATAATTGTAATAATAGTAATATAAATATATGTGTCAGCTCTAACGTTTTGTTTAAGTCGACAGTGATTTCCAAAATTTAAACCAAGAATAAAAACTCTGAGAGTATTGCATGCTGGTTTAGAGGTCCTCAGTAAATGCCACTACTCAAAAGGAGCTCACTTTCCTGTCTCTCAGAGAAACTTTGAGGTACAAACAGGATCCCAGAGAAAACAGTTCCATTCAAAAACTTCTAATAGAAGAGGTACCACTCTTGACTTAGACAAAACAGAGAGCATAATATCCTCAAAGAGATTGCCTTGGTTATGTTTCGTTATATCTGAATGATGAAAGTGTAATCTAGATGTTGCCTCCTGTGTTACCAGATGTTGAAATGTCTCCCATGTTACCAAGATGGAAATGTGAACACAATAAAGTGAAAACAACAACATTCTGATCTAATCAATAACCCAAAACCACAATATTTTGTGGCCACACAACAGATCACGATCTCACAACGAAAAATAGGAAGAAACTCACCTGTATTTAACTCCTCCTCAGCAGTTAAATCCTTCAGGGGGTTTTCAAAGAGATGAAGATATACTTCAATAGCACAGCGAGCAGCTTTGAAATAGAAGGGATGAGCGCGTAAAACATCTTCTAGGCGAAGTAATCCTATGTAAGAGCGAAGTGTCATCTTCCTCATACAATAAGTGTGGAAATCAAACTGGTCATCAATGATTTCAGAAAAATGCTGAAACAGAAAGATTGCACCAGTTACAGCAGGAAAAAGAAATCACAGCTAGAGATACGAAAAAGGAGACAGATGCAGCTCAGTAGGTGCTTGCATGGGAGCAATTTGCAACACGCATCACACCCCACTTGAAGGTAGGCAAAAAGGGACCACCTCCAGAAAAGAACGTTGAGTAGAGGAATAAGCTTACCCGATCAATTTCATGGCACTTCTTCAGAGCATCACCCCACCTATGCAGTCTTTGGTATGCTAGTGCACATTCAGTTTGGAACCACATACACTGCATCTCATTGAGGTTCTCCATGGCAGTTACTCCCTCCTACAAAATCAAACCAGAAGTAAGTTACAGCTCAACGCTCAGAATGTGCGAGTTAAACTAGGTGACCTCCTCTGCGTACCCGGGTGAACTTTTCACACGTCTCTTCTGCCTCATCAATGAGATTGGCGCGGAGCATGTACTTCGCACATTTAGAGTTGATGTATCGGTCAGCTGTGTCCAGGCCTTGAGCTTCATCAAGGTATTTAAAAGCCTCAATGGCATCTCCAGCATGCTGCAATACAATCATAAATACAAAATTAGTCATAGTTCACTTTTGACACAGAAAGAAATTAGTAACTCCAGGCAAAGAAAAACAACCTTGAATATTCTGCCTTTGCACACAAACAATTCAATAAGGGTAGGTGTGTGATCAATAGCAGCATCAATGTAGAAGATGGCTTTTTCTGGGTTTTCCAGGAAGTCATAATGTTGAGCCAAGAAATAGTATGTCCAAAGGAGTGCACATGCAGGCTCCTTGCTTTCTCCAGCATCAGCATCTGCAAGTCATAACAGAAGCAATAAAATATTTTTACGTATTTCCAAATTGCATCAATTTCAAAACTAAAATATTTTCCAGCTTACCCGCTTGTGAAAAATGACCAGACTTTTTCAATTGCTCAACATAGGATAGAACCAGGTCTTGAATTGTATCAGCCTTGGATTGAACTTTGTAAAGAGACCGCAAATCAACAAAGAGAGGAGGAACTCCTTTATGCAATCCTTTTCTCAAATATGCATCCACTAGTTTCCTGAACCTGTCACCTGTGAGGAAAAAGAAATTTTTTTATCAAGACTTTGTCTTTCGATAGAATGCCAAAAGACATAAAAGAAAAAATTTGTTTACCAGTTGCATAGTTAAGAGCTAGCCGTTTAGGAGCATGAGCTCTGGGAAACTGTTTTTGGAAGTATTCAAAAGTATCTACACATTCATCTTCATCAGAGGATTGCTTGACTTCAAGAAACTTGATGTAATACAATGTATTCTCAGGATTGCGCTTAATTAACTCAGAATAAACAGACTCTGCGCGGTCAAAGCGTTGCAAATTAAGATACAATGTGCCTGAAAACAGAAACAGATTATGTCAGGAGAAAATAAAGGAATAAGATAAAATACAGCAGAATACAGAAGTAAATTAAAGTTTGGCCACACAACATGTCATAAAAACACTTGGTCAGTAATTACCCAAAGTTTCAAGAATGCTGAGCTTGTCAAGAATCTGCTCTTGATACTTTTCCAAATGAGCTACAGCCTCCTTCAAAGCCCCAGACTCCTGAATCACCATGTTCTGGTACAGCAACACCTCTGAGTGTTCATAGTCATAGGAGCTCTAGGAGAAAAAAAGAAGAAGAAAAAAAAGATAAGAAAAACAAGAAGCTATAGGGAACTTAACAATCACAAACCACAATATAACCCACAGGAATATCTGCCTGAGTTTTACGGAAGTCCTCAAGAATCTTCAAAGCCCCCTCATAATCACCAATAAGATGGTAAGACATGGCAAAACCAATCCATGATGCTCTTTGAGTAGGTCGCAAGCGGAAAAGTTGATATCTTGTGTCTCTGTAGCCCTCAAGGTCTCGCAAATGAATTTGAAGAAGTGACAAGTCTCTAAGGATCTGAATATTATCCTTCTCCCACTTCAGAGCATTCCGATAACATTTGATTCCTTCATCATACTTCTTGTCAGAGCGCTGAAGAAGTCCATACACATGCCAGCAAACATGGGAGCGCAGATCATTGCGAAGACCTCGCTTCACATACTCATAGGCCTCTTCCTTGCGACCCAGGCAATTCAGAGTTAAACCTTTCATAGCCAGCGTTTCTGGAAACAAAAAGAGTTACAAGTTAGGCATTGAAATCATGCTAATATGGCAAAACTTGCACTATAAGAGCATAAATAATTGCAAAACCTCCGAGAGCCTTACCCCCATGCTCCATGTACTTCGGGTTGGAGAGGATCTGCTTGGCAAACTTTAACCCATTTTTGTACTGCTTGTGCTCGTAACATTTCTGTAGAAACAAGTAAGACATGAAATGATGTATAGTTGACATGGTCCTAATACATTTAAACTCATCTTTGAGTTGAACAATGGCATAGATTTAAAGGGGATTTGATTACTCAATTTTTATGGAGAAACTACTGAGTATAATAAAAGAAGACCTCAGTCAAGATGAATATCCGACCCACTGGAAAGATGTGAAAGGAACTGACCACGCCACGATTACAAAGTAATAGAGTACATGGATCAACGGCGGAGCCGTAGAATGGAACTTAAAGAATAATAAATGCACCGAGAATGAATTATTCGGCACCCAGAAAGTTAGGTTAGGTTTTCTCAAGTTTAAAGTCATTCATTTATAGTCATTGAGCTATTAGAAAAGTTTCGGGGAAATTGGTGAAAACAGATCTGACCTAAAAATTGCAGGATAAGATCGTTTGCCATTTCAATAAAATTACAGTGACGGGACATAATTTAGCGCCGCGAATGCCGGTACAATCAAAACATTGCTGAGGTTATGGCGCATAGAGCGGATACGCCCGAAATGGAGAGCAATAAGCTATGAACCGTCTCAACTCAGTGACAGCAGATAAAATAAATTATTTAAATGGCTAGAAACATGTTAGGATCGCGCTGAACGTTTCAAATAGCAGTACAGGCAAGCAAAATTAAGGTAATCTTCAACATGACCTTAACCTTCCTAATTTGAGCAAGGTACTTGAGCGGTGTCAAATGACTGAATACTTACCAAAATTCGCTTAAAAAGGGCGTTTTCTTTTGGTGGCAAGGGGTTACTCGAGGGCATTTTGATGTGTGGTCAAGGTAAACAAAGTGCAAATGTTTATCGGAGGTTTCGGTGTAAACCCTCGTGGCCCTGACTGACCCAAACCAAAATGGCGAAGTGGTCACGTGACCCTAACATTCTCATGTTCGCGGTGGGGCGGGGAGCGGGCTCAAAAAGAGGACAGTTGCGATCAAGGCCGTTTTTGAAAAGAAACGTGCTTTTCAAATTCAGTAACTTCACCCTTTACAGTACTATCGCATTTAGATCTTCGCTGAATTAACGCTTTTCAACATGTCGGAGGGGCTCATTTGAAATTCCCGCCCACCAGAAATGGCTGTAACTCGAAGCGGTTCCGGTCGGCTGTCTGCTGGACTGTAAACATACAACACGTACCGATGCGGAATGAGGAATTTTTGTCTGGAATTTCATTGTGATTAGTTTTGCTGGTTCTGCTCGAAAATGTGTTTTTGAAAAACACTGACCGAAGTGGGTCGTCGTTCTATTGACCGTAAGTTCATGTCTGCTTCTGTTATGCTTTAGACAATGCGGGAGGTGGTTTGCTGAAATATCAAGTCGAGGGTGCTCTGCAGGTACCCTTCAGGCTCTGGCATTTGATCGCTATTTTAGCTTGATGTTATGTTCTTTCGTGGATCTCAAGGGCTAGACGGGGTAGTGGATGTGTCACTGGTGGCGTCGGCTTCTCGCGAGTCCCTTTCCAGTGTGTGAATCTCGCGGGGCGGTCAATCCCTTGGGGCGACGTGAGGCAGCCTCCCTCTCCCTGTTGCAGCCAAACATTTGACAAGTAACCAACTCCCTTTCCTTCGTGTTTCTGTGACGAGATGGCCTGACTGAACGTCAGATACCTCTACCTGTAGGGTCACGTTGAGTTGCTACTCTGCACCGTCCCTTGCATGGTCCTGCGGTCCGTGGCACTGGCAAGTAGTGCTTGGGTGTGGACAGTGAACAGGCCCCTAACCTTTGGGATCTGATGTTTCTGTTCATGAGACCCTGATTTATTCGCTTCTGACTCACACTCATTTCGGATTCTGGAAACCCTCATTCGATATCATAGGCATAATTCATTGAAGGTTTGTCGGCTCCGCCCCTGTTCTCTCTGTGCTCTGATGTCAAGTGTCTCGATCTGGTTTGTCTCTATGCTAAACCATTGAAATTTCTGTTATCAAGCTGTATGTCAGCAGTTTTTTTAAACGTAATAATTTTGGTTTTGTCCGCATAATAATGATATGTCTATTGCGTTCTCATTAATTTGTGTATCGAGAACATTGTGTCATTCCTGTCTTTACTTGTGACGTAGCGGGCTTTTTTTCTTTGAGAATTGGATCTCTTTTATCAATCTCACTTCCTATCCCAAGTCTGATTTCTTTTCTGCATGCACAGTCCAATTTTTTTCTGGTGGAATCGCTACAACTTGGGTTGATCTGCCTCTAGAGAATCAGTTCACAAAAGTAACTTGCGAACATTTGCAAGTTATTTCCCTCAGAATAGCTATTTTATTCTTTAATTTGTCAGGCTTCCTGGTTCTTTCATAGAAGATGCTGCAGTAGCACCAGTATGAAGAGAGCCTGTAGCTCTGTCGTAGCACCTCTGGCATTGTGCCAGTTGGCCCACCCAAACCTCATCTTTGTACTAGCTCCAAGATTAGAATAGATTACGGCACCAATTTTTTTTTCCCGTGCCTTACTCTTTGAATTTATTTTTTTTTAATTCAGAAAACACTTAGAGTAATATTTTTGGTTAATTTTTTGTGTGTGTGCAAGTGTGTTATTGTCTTTTTGTTATTTGTTGAGTAAAAAAAGTGATTTTATATTCTTTTTGTTTTTTAAATTGCAGAGAACATCTGAGAGATCAGCATGGAAAAGGGACAACGTTCTTCCTTGTTAAGTTGTCCTGCAACACTGAATTGGCAAGAAGCAAAAATGAAGATACCTTAACATTACTGAGGTCTAGTCTGGGTATCATTTTAGACAGGTTTTAAGCATGGATGAGGGAACATTAAATGACTTGCTAGAGTGTTCTGTTTGCCTGGAACGGCTGGACACATCTAGCAAGGTGTTACCATGCCAACATACGTTTTGCAAGAAGTGTTTAGAAGAAATAGTCGTTACCAAAAAGGAACTTCGATGTCCAGAGTGTCGTGTTTTAGTGGAGACAAGCATCGATGACCTCCCTCCCAATGTGTTACTCATGCGTATCTTGGAGGGGATGAGAAATGCTGCTCCAAAAAGAAGAGGCACAGGAGCTCCTTCAATATATCACCAGCGCTCCTACTCTCAACCAGTTGGTGGCACCATCTTCCCATCCACACTGTCGCTTCTGCTGTTCCTGCTGCTGTAACTCAACATACACCTCTTGCACCTGAAGGTGTTCTAAGGTTTCACCCCAACATTAAGCAGGTGGGTTGTTATTAGTCATATCTAATGTTTGCATTTTGTTGTCTCATTATTATTATTATTATTTCATTTATTTTCTTCCGTACAGTTTCCACTTATTCCACAAGCATATTATGCTAGAGCTGTCTATGACTATGTCTCCAAAGAACCAGGGTAAATATTACTCTACACTTCTTTTTGCAGTTCTTGTTTTTGGACATCTTTCTATACCTCTACTGGAATTAACCAAGTAACATTAACAATTTTTTTTTTTTTTTTTTAAATAAATTTAGGGACTTGAGTTTTAAGAAAGGTGACATTATTACATTGAAGAAACAGGTAGATCATAATTGGTACCATGGTGAAATTGGAGGAGTCCATGGCGTATTTCCCCTGTGCTATGTTCAAGTAAGTATTTAAATTGATGGACTATAAATGATCCACTGTTCTTGCCTTTCTAACGTGCATCTTATCTTGTTGTCTCAGCTTATGCCAGCTCCAACAAATGTACCACAATGTAGAGCTATGTTTGACTTCAGAATGGCAAATGATGAAGAGGAAGGCTGCTTGACATTCCCCAGGGTACGAATTGTCTTATTAGAAATGAGATGTATTGGTTTTTGTTTCTGCTGTCTGTTTCTTTGTTATTTTACACTGAATCTTACCCATTTTCTTTCAGGGGGAAATAATTACTGTGATCCGAAGAGTTGATGAAAACTGGGCTGAGGGGCGTTTGGGTGATAGAGTCGGAATTTTCCCCATAGCATTTGTTCAAATGAATGACGTTGCACGGGCCTTTATGAAACTCTCTTCCAAGTACGTATTAACAAGGATGAAATTGGGCAGCACTTGCCCGGAATTTTGGTTTGTGAACTAACCTGCACTGATTTGTTTTGTTTCATTGTTTTTTTTTAGTATTCAACCTGGGCCTTCCCGACTAGCCCCTCCTACGCCAACATCAGAGGAAACTACACCTCTGATACCTACAGACCACAGTCAAGCTGCTGTTGCCCCTCAGCAACACCAACAGCAGCAGCAGCACCAGCAGCAACATGTACAGCAACAACTGCAGTATCAGCAGCATCAACTGCAGCAACAACTTCAGCAGCAACCGCCGATTCAACCACAGCAGCAACCACCACAGCAGCCACAGCAGCAGCCACCGCAGCAACTGGAGCAGCAACCACCACAACAGCAGCAGCCTTTGCAAGCCGCAGCACCAACCCAGGTTCAGCATCAACCTGCCCTGCCAGCCCAAATACTCCAGTCTCAAAATCCAACTCAAAACTCTTCTCTGCCCCAGCCCGTCCAACAAATTTCCCATTCTCAACCTCAATCCCTGTTTCAAACTCAACCTGCCCAGGTGTCCTCTGTACCAAAGCCCCCAACAAGTGTTGCTGCTAGTTTTGTAAGTATTTACAGTCCTTGAGAGTCCCTACAATCACCTGTCATGAGTAAACATTTTATATTAATCTCCAACATTTCTTAAATTTGTGCAGATCACTGAGTCAAGTTCCTCAACATCTTCAAGCTCTACTACCCCAAACACTAGCAGCACCTCATCGAGCTCCAGCTCCAGCACCACACCTTCATCTCCGGCCTCTCCGCCACCAAGACCAACAGCATGGAGTCCGAGACCTACCCGTTCAAGCTCAGGCACCAGTGGTTCACATGAAAACAGCCAATACAACCAGCAGAAGAGGCACAGCCTCACTGCGCTCCTTGCGGCTCCAGCCCAGCAGTCTTCATCAAACAGGTACAGTACCTTCCCCTATGAAGCAAAAGTCTGTTTGTCTCGGTGGAGATAGGTTTTTTTTTCATATGTCCTGCTTCTTTTCAGGCACTCTGCGGAAGTTCTTGGTTCTGCTGACTTGTCGGATACAAATACTGAACCGCCTCTGAATGGCGAATTGGTTCGACAAGGCAGTGGCCGGCACCACCGCCGCTCGGGGAGCAGTGAATTACCATTGTCAAGTGTTGGGAGCGTTCCTCCCCCTTTGCCTCAAGGCATCCACCCCTCTCTTGTCAACAACAGCAACCTTCCAGCAACCTACGTTGCCCTGTACCCATACAAGCCTCAGAAAGCTGATGAACTCGAACTGAGAAAGGGTGGTGTCTACACTGTCACTGAACGTTGCCAAGATGGCTGGTTTAAGGGAACTTCAAACCGGACTCAGAAAAGTGGAGTTTTTCCTGGAAATTATGTTGCTTTTGTCAAGTAAGATTTTTTTTTAAATTAAAATTCCAATGATATTTTCTTTTTGAATGCATATCTACTCTTATATTTTGCAGGTCTGCCCCAGGAGCTCAGCAGCAGGTTCGGAGTGTCCCAAGAGGTGGCGTGAATGCCAACACTCCGACTCGATCTGCCAGTAGCGGTGCAGTCTCTCCTCAAGCCAGTGCTGCTGCTGCTTCTTCGTCCACTACTTCCCCCTCCCCTGTTAGTTACACAAGGGAGCGGAAACCTAACAGCTCATCCCCACAGACATCTAATCTTCGTCATCAAGCAACTGGTAGATCATATTTCTAACTGAATTGCTGTGAATTTTTATCTCATCTTCTAACAATGTTATGTGTTTTAGGATCAGATCCCCCTTCATTACCTCCTCGCTCAGTTAGCCCTGCTCAGAGTTCCACCACAGCAAATGCTGTGTCCTGGCACCCTCATCCCAGTAATCTAACTGCAACTGATGCCACTCGAACAACTCGTGAGTAATTGCTCTGTTATTTGTTTCACATTTTTTTCAAATTTTATTTAATAAAATGCTGGTTTTATGTTTTTAGCTTCAACTTCACCTCAAGCTCCTGCCCAAGGGACTCAAAGTAGCCCTCAAACGTCTCAAAGCTCAGTTTCCCCTAGCAGTGCATCGGCTGCTCCATCAACAACACCTTTGGGTACACCACTAAAAACATCTTCCGAAAAGGTACGAAAAATTAATGTTCTTGGCTGTGGCGTTACATCCTTTAAATTTGTTGTTGTTAAAACCTCATATAAAAATATTTTGCATTATTAGGTGAAAGAGAAGAAGGAGCGCGGCAGTGTCAGCCTTATGCGACGGCTCACCAATATGAAAAAGTCCAAATCACCCCCTCCTCCATATTCCATGGACAATCCGGTGTTCGAAGATGGTTCTGTTTTTGGCACACCTTCACACAGTGTCCACCCTGCTCATCCTATCCATGTTAGGTAAGCACTGCTGCAGCTGAGGGGAAAAAATTCCATTCAGATACAGGAGAAAGGCCATTTCATTTATTCATCCTACATTTACTGTTCACTGATATGGCCCCTTAACTTTTCAACTTCCTAATTTTGTCTGTGAATTTTGTTGTGTGATTGGTGGTCTGCATTGTTATTGATGTTAGCATGAAGCACTTGTTTGTTGAGCAATGCACCTATTTCACAAGTGTAATTTTTTTCATCTTTCACTTAAAGGCACATGCAGTAGTCTACTATTGTTAAAATTATTTTTGTTTGGGTAAAACTGCATAAAATTTTATGAGTTTAAATTCAACAACAATCATAACCAATTGCTTGATTTTTGTGCTGGGCCAATGATGTACCCTGTTGGTCCCTTTTTTTCTTTTCCTCTTTTTTTTTTTTTTTTTGGCAGAGTTGACACTCTGTTCTGCTTTTTCTCAAATTTTGAATGTGAATATGTACATAGAATGTTTTTGGAGCTTCTGAAATAATGGCAATGAAATATGACGCTTTGTACACTTGAGCCGCTTTTGTTATGTTTGGGCTTTGACATGTTTTTCACCGTGGGCAGTCTTTACATTTGTCCTGTTTGATTTGTAATGCCTTTTGCTACGCTGCACAACTCTACAGGTCGGGTTCATGTCCAAGCCAACTCCTTCAGCTTCCTCAGCCTGAGTCCCTCCCTCAACAATCTCAACCACAGCATCATCGCGCAGTGGCTGCTGCTGCTGCAGGAGCAGGGGCAGGAGGTTCTCAGCGGCTTCGCCATAAAGATCGCCCGAATGTAGTAGTGTCAAATTTTGCACTCAGTGGAAGGTTTGTGTTTATAGTATATTATTCCTGTGTTGTATTAGACCATCAACAAAATCTTTTGGGGTTTCTGTTTGGTTTCTCCTCTGCTTTTGCCTGCACATTGCCCTTTGCCTACGCCAGCTTTGTGTTGCACCCATGTGTACGCTCGGCCGTCAAAGTCTACCTACTTCTACTTTTTGATGACCAATGTGGCTCTCTGTAGACTATTTAGACGATTTTCTTAATTTAAAGTTGTGGCTTTGTTTTGTTTTCAGGTCAGGGGATGGAGTTGCTGCTTCTGCTTCCTCACAGGCAACTGGTAGTCACCATCGAAAATCGAACTCTCTTGATGCCGGCAGTGGTCACAGCACCAGCTCCAACGGTCACAGCACTCACAGCAGCAACACTCCACATGGATCAAGCCATGGAGAATCCAGCCGAAAATCCAAACAACTCGTTCAACCAGCTCGCGAGCGGTTAGTATACAATCATGGTGTTAAAGGAAGTGCCGCCTTACTAGTTGCTTACAGAAACTTACATTTCTTGTCTTAATTTTTCAGTTTTCGCTGTGTTGTTGCCTATCCACCTCACTCAGAGTATGAACTTGAACTCCGTGTCGGTGATGTTATCTATGTTCATCGTAAAAGAGAGGATGGATGGTATAAAGGGACTCAACAACGCACTGGCCGAACAGGACTCTTTCCAGCCAGCTTTGTTGAAGCTTTCTGAGACACCGCTTCCGCTCCCTGCATGTTTGAGACCTGCATCTAATAGTAAATTCTGGGGGCGGATTAAAATTGACCTCTGGTAGTCTTTTTAAGCCTCTCTGAATGCCTAATACTGTTTTTTAAGAGGAGTTTGCTTCTAGATTGTTAATGCAGTTCTGGGCAGTGGTTTTCAGTTATCAAATACCTGTTGTCATAAACCTGTGATATTGTTATACTATTGCTATTGTAGACTGTGAACCTAACACAATACGAATAGCTTAGAGTGCTGCATGCAAAGCACTTAATTCATACTAACTGATTTGACTGTGGCAAACAAAATCAGAAGCTCTTATTGATCAATTTACCAAGATAATCACTTAATCATTTATGGTGCACCTTGCCAGCTTGTGTGTTCAATCTAGGTCTTGACCGTATTTACTTGCCCTTTAAATTAAGATATTAAGCAAACAAATTACCTTCTTTGGTCATCATTGACAGTTTTTTTTTTTTTTTTAAATGCGTATCTTCTAGTATTGTGTTGCATGTATCCTCTAAATATAGTAAAAATGTTTTACTCTGTCATTCACATATTGAGAAGAAAATCTAGTTGTATGCGTATTTTATCTGGCAATGAATGAAGTGAGCAAAAAAAATTTGGCAAGCGCATGATATATTCCAATTGAACTTAATTGTTGTAAATATATGATTCTTGTTTTAGTTTTTGTGGAAGTAAGAATTACCATCTTCAACTTGCTTGTAACTGGTACTTGTTTATATTGTACCGTTATGACATTTTGATTTTGTTACTTACTTTTGGATTGCACTGATATATTCTGCCATATTAAGAACATTTGCTCCACTTGGTTTGTTTAGGTTTAGTGTAGGTAGGTAGACTTATTAATGACTTACACTTTTACAAATTTGCATATTTTTTGAATGTTTTATTATTATTATTTCCTGACCCACTTTCATAACAATATATTACCCACTTTTTTTATACAATTGAATGTTTAGCCACATCTTTGTGTTCATCTTTAATTTATCTGTCATCTTGTCTACACGGGGCCGCCATGGACCCTGACGCGCGGCGATATTCATACTAGTTTTCAGAGCTCGTGAATTGGAATGATTTGGAGTACAGTTTCAGGAGAGTTCCGAAGTTAGTGGAAAAGTCTTTGCGAATCCAACGGTACTCTCAAATTTTTGTGGCTCTTTGTTTGCGCTCTCTAGGTAGTTGGGCATGCGCCAGGGCGCTGCCCTGCCCGTGGGATTTCCCACTTGTACTCCTGTGTACTCCTGGGCGCCCTTCTCTGACTAATTGAAAAATGCCTTATCTCACCATTTTGTTTAGTATATTTTTACTCGTTCTTTACCTACTTTCTATATCCATACAAAGGTAAAGACGAGTATTGTGTTTGGTAAGACGCAACTTGGTGACACATGTTTAACTCAGTAAATACTTAACACACAATTGTAATGTAATATTTTTTGAATAGGTATGGTTTTGGTGAGAAACTAATGTTAGAAGCTTTTTTCTGTTACCATGAAGCACTTTTTACCTTAAAATCAATAGGAGAGAAGTGCAAGTTCTGGACTGAATGATGGAATAGGATATTTTGGAAAGTTAAACATTTAGGACCAAGTGTTGTGACTCATTAGAAAGCCAACAATGAGTCCTAAAATTCTCCTCTTATGAATTTTACCCGTTTATTACATGATTTTTTGAGATTACTAGATGTTGTGCTGTTGCCAGCCAAAATGTTCTAAGTCCCACGATTTTAACCTCAACAACGGTGCCGGCGCATGCGCCCTCTCGCCGCTAGGTCTCAGGGAAGCCCCGTTCCTCTAGGAGCATTGTTAGCACACCCCAGCCATGTAACGTGATGTAGACCAATGGATACAGCCCTGCTCCCCCGATCTCTAAACCCAAGTTCAATGCCCATAGATTGTACTATACAAGCATTATTTTTCTCTGAAGTAATGTTGTTACCAAAACCTTGAACTATTCAGAAGACATCAGTTAAATGGTTTACGCCTTATATTGACTGAAATACTGAGATTACATTTGTGTCACCTGAAGGCAAAGAACGAGTACCACTTAGCAAAATTGATAAATTGCTTCTCTAACTTGTTCTTTACATTTGTTGCTATTGTCTTGAAGCTTTCTTTGGATAATTTTGACGATTTGTCACGCGTTCCTTTGCCTCGATCTGCTTGTTTATACAGGAAATGTCATCAACTATTAGTTAGATAACTTTTTTTTACCCCCAGAAATAATTACAAAATTGAATGGGCTACAGTTTAGATTTGGAAGAGTTCCTTGAACTCTACCATGGATCTTTTTGTAGTATTTTGTTGTTTGTGCTCGGCTGTTGAACTAATTATTCATATTTCTCCTATATCTCTTGCTATATAAGGCTTATACTAGGTTTTTTTTCTCAAACATTCATTTAGATACTGTTTTAAGCAGTGCACAATCAATTTCACTGCATGGTGTATGATATGGTCAATTTGTATATCTCTGTTTCTGTTCTATTTGTCTGTTGATCTGTTGTTGTTAATAATAATAGTAATAGTTTAAGTAGTTACCATGCCTACTATACTTCTTGCATACGTACATGCTTCAAATGAACATCAATCAATTGTAGATTTATTTATTGCTACTCACTGCAACTCGAAGTGTATAGCGAGTTAAAACTTTTATCAAATAGTAATTTTTAATGACTTTGTAAATACTGTACATTACTGTATAATTGAATCTGCATGGTACTATATTTGACTTTTTAATGTGTAAGTAGTCAAGTGTGATAAAGCGACATGAATTGGTGTGAACTTGATCAATGAGATATTCAGTTCGGTGTGTGATTTGTGTTTTGAAGTTTCCAGTGGAGTATTGGAATGTGTTCATTTTTTTCAGTGTTCATGGATTTTGCAGGCTGATGATATTTGTGATACTAGACAATCTTTCATTTCCATTGTCTCAAACTCTCTTGAACTGATTGTCCCATGATTTTACTCAATTTGCCATATAGTTATTGGGGCATTGCCTCTTAATTTTGGTTTGCACATGAATAGGTTTATATGTTAATTGATTGCCATTGGTGTGATGTGTACCGTGTAAATAATAGCTGTTGATGTGAAAATGGCCATAGGCGACTAATTCTGACTAATTCTAACTATTGTGGCTTCTTTGTACTGTTAGTATCAATGATTTGTTATCACTACATTCACCCTGTTGTCTTCGGTATGAAGCTTTTGTCTTTAAAAGACCTGCTGGTATCCTCATCTTCTAGAAACTGTTCAAGTTTGCTCTAAATTATTTCTGTCCCCAAGAGCTAAGCTCCACTAAGTGTTATTTGTGGTTTCCCCAGTGCTATTTCTTGCTGTTCCCTGTCATCACAGTCCTTCACCTGTGACATGGTCTGTGTTACCAGAATGAGGTAGCTGTTGGAGGCTGGAATCCTTGTAGACAATATAAGACTGTCTATAGAATTGATTCTTCGGATTAAATTTGTCCTCCAGTATCAAGTGCATATGATATACAAGACATAGGGTGTTATTTACGATGTATCACAACTTTTTATAAATATATTTCTTACCCATGAGACTATGCTGTTTATTGTGTATTCTTGTGTTTCACTCTCCACATAAGAAGGAGAAAATTAATGTTACAAGTTATACTTATGTGATATTATTATTCAAGTTTCCCTACTCGAAGGATAGGGATGTGAAAGACAATGGCCAAGACAAAACAAAAAAAAAAAAAGAACAACCATATGAAGTTTACCATGAATATTACTTTCGATGAATGAAACCCCACATACAGTCAACACAAAGGATAAGTACCCACTGATTGTAACAAGAACTATGGATTTGAGAACAGAATATAGGTAGCGCCTCTCATTGCAAAATTAATTCACAAAACAAAGAAAGGAATTCATCTTGCCTACATGGTTAATGATTTACTTATTTTTTTGACTAGGAAAAATGACCTATCTTTTGGTTTATACTGAAGGGCCAATCTCAAAGGCTGTCTCCACAGGACATTCTTAATCAAACATTGATTTCACACACAAAGTCCTTTTCAAGCGGAGGGCAAACCCTACATAAATAAACTCTGGTTTCTTTAACAGGCAACTTAGCATGATAATTTCTGCAGCAAGCTACAGATAGAGTTGATCGTTTACAAATAATAACTAAGAGCACAAGAATGGGGGGAAATAGTGGTCAAGACCAAGCAACTAATTAACAAACTAACAAATTAACTGTATCAGACCATAACTTATAGTTATAAACTAATCTACCTACTACTCATCCAACAATCTTTCAGTCACCTTACCATACATGCAATTAACCATTTTTCATGAAAAGCATTGACATTGTCAGTTTTGATAAATGAATAGGTAACAGGTACATAGCCAGCTAAATGTACCTTGACATTGCACAAGAATTGGCACTTTTAGTTTTTATCATGATGGTAACTTAATCACTTGATTAAATCAATGTACTTAATAATAAATAAAGTACACAATAGTCAGACCATTGTGTCCAAGCTGCTCTTCAATCAATCAAAATAAGAGGGAAAGGGAAGAAACAAGAACTTCAATCGTCAGGCAAAATGGAAACAGTGACAGAACTGGTCATTTCATCTTCACTGCATTGAGACATATCATCTAAATATTGCTGGTCATCATCATCCAGACCTTGCTTAAGCTCCATGTCGTCCATTTGGGGGATATGAACTTCAATGAGTTCGGGTAAGTCATCTTGCTGATGTAACACATTGGGTTCAAGAAGACGAACTACCTTCATATGTTCTTCAACATCTTGACCATCATCAAGTTCCATAGAAACAACTTTGACCTTCTGAACATCTGTCTTCCGTTCCATCAATTCCCCGGTAGTCTTGTTAATAGTGACAGGATTATTGGCAGGAGGTCCGCAGTCTTTTGAATGAGCTTTACCAGCACAACAATTAGGATACATCTGATGAGAATGCATTTTCTGTTGATGTTTCTCCAGAGAAACTTTGGCAACAAAAGCTTTGCGGCAAAGAAAGCAAGGGAAAGCCTTCTCTTGGTGGTGGGTGGCTTCATGTTTTTGCAAGTTAGTCTTTTGCCCAAACGCACGCCAACATTGACTGCAGGAGTAGGGCTTGATGCCTGTGTGAATTCGTTCATGACGGTCCAAGTTGGCTTGTTGGGCAAAAGTTCGACTACAAAAACGGCAACTGAAAGGCCTTTCTCCTGTGTGCAATCTCACATGCTTCACTAGATTGGCTTGTTGTGAAAAGCCCTTTTCACAAACTTCACACTTGTACGGGCGCTCACCTATATCATGATAACAGATAACAATTACATTACAGTCCAAGACAAAATATCACATCACTGATCATTTAATTTTAATATTTTACCTGTATGCGTCATGTTGTGTGTTAACAAGTTGGCCCTCTGAGCAAATGATTTGTCACAAAGATCACATTTGTATGGACGAACACCTGCAATACCGCACAATTACATTAAAATAGTAACAATTATCATGTTGTCCTCAGTCATTGCATATATCCGTCAAAAGAAAAGTAAAGCAATAGGATTTCTTACCAGTATGCAGTGTAATGTGAGTCATGAGATTAGAACGTTGTGCAAAAGTCTTTTCACACTGTGTGCACTTAAAGGGACGTTCCCCTAAACAAACATTAAATGAAACGAATTTAGTAACTTTCACAGACCAAAGCCGGGAGGAAATTTAAATTTAAGGAAAGATGGTGGCTTACCAGTATGAATCTTTTCATGCTTTGATAAATTGCCCTGCTGAGTAAAGCATTTCTGACAGATTCGGCACTGGAAAGGGCGTTCGCCTGTATGGGTACGCATGTGCTTCCATAAATTAGGCTGCTGAGTGAAAGCTTTCTGACAAACATTGCATTGAAATGGACGCTCTCCAGTATGAATGCGATAGTGAGTTTGCAGGTTAACTTGCTGCGAAAATGTCTTAAAACACTCCTACATGGATCATAACAAATGGAGGAAAACATGTTTTAAAAAAAGAGGTCAACCATACAGAAATACACACTCAGTAAAAATTTACTTGGTGATGAATATACCTTGCATTCAAACTTTGCTTTCCGTAGAGAAGGATTAGCAGGTCCTCTATTAGTAACTGACGATGAGGCTGGAAGTACCTTGATTGAACTCTTGTTAGCTCGTGCGGGAATGTATTGAATACCTCCAATAGTAACATTCTGCAACAACAACAATGTCGATCAAAGTTATCCATGATAAATAGAAAAGAACAGGCATAAATTTCATTTAAACTAAACCGTACTTTGTTGGGAGCAAGGAATGTTGTCACAATGGGCAACTGGTTGGGTTGATCAATACTAATGGCATCTGAAGATTCGATTTCCTCTGATCCAGCATCCACATCAATTTCCACTATCCCCTCCGGCAGCGCTTCACATGAAATGTCTTTATCGGGAAACACAATGACCTACAGAGAAATATAAGCATTATTAAATAAAATGTAGGCAAAATATATTCACAACAAAAAATTTTTTTTGATTTTTGAGCTTTGTGCACAAAACCTGATAAAAAGACTAGCACATGTCATGCCAACAAATGGCAAAGTTCTACATCAAACACCTTGTGAAGCCTAAGCCCTTAAAAATTTAGAAAGAAAAAATCAAGTGACACCCACCTCTTCTCCAATGTCTACAGGCTGTATATTTCCATGGTTTGGGAGGCAGGTTGGGTCAGTCACAGCTTTCAGTTGTCCATCAGCACCAATCGTGACAACTGGAAGGTACTGGCCCGAAGTCCCAGAACCATCCATGATGTAGTGATAAATTGGTTCATTTTTAATGGCAATACTCTGCAGAATTAAAATAATTAATTATCTATTAAATAAGACAATGCTGATTAATGAATAGGGATAGACATAATAAGTACAAAGTAACAATCAAAAGGCATGGACTTGCTAGCATGCAAAAGCATGAATAAGAGAACACAGATACAAACACAAGAATTTTTTTTTTAAAATGGCAACTTAGCCAAAAAAAAAAAAGCCCAGTGCAGAGTCTCAAACCAGATGATTCAGGTAAAGAACATAGAAAATAATGCCCCCCATCCTACCTACCGAAACAGAATAATGTGTATCATTCTCAGAAATATCTTGTTGTAGCCAACAGGAATCATTGGTGTCTGACTCTACTAAATTCTGCCAATATTTCAAGAGAAAGAAAAAAAAACAAAATTAGTTAAAAACAATGTACAAAAGCCAAAATTAATGTCAAGAATGGGACAGATGATTGTCTAATGATAATTTGAGAGTTGAGACAAGAAAGATCTATTCACAAAAACAAGAAACCGCATTATAGTTTAAGAAAAGGCATATGGGACTTCTGAAGGTTTGATAGGATGAGACCAGCTTTGTTCAAAAATCAAAACAAAATCGAAGATAATAAGATAAGGCAACAACAGCGGTGTGATTTAAACAAAGTGGGCTCACAAGACATGCACATTAAAAAAGCGGGGGATTCAATTTAATTGTTCCAACAAACAGCTATGTGCAAAGGCAGAGGATATAACACACACAGGGTACAGCATGTTACTGAACAGACTGGGTGCTCATACAAAAAATATTTTACAGCAACGAAAGAGAAACAATCAAATGATGGTAAGGCAACTCACCGATACTTTGAATAACTGTCGTGAATCTCCATTATCCGACATCTTTAATCTCAAGAGGTGTATAAGCCTGTAAGGAAGAAATCAATTTAGAGCATTACTTTCGATTTCATATGTTATGCAAGGAAGACGAGATACTAAATGAGTGAAGGAGAGGCAGAGGATGAGGCACTCCACTGCGAGCTGAGCCGAAGACAATTAAGAGGTTAACTTATTGAAAATTGAAACATCGCAACTCAAGAATGTAAAAATTAATGACTGGAATAAGTTAATATTTATGGCGACAAAATTATAAACATTGGACAAAATAGAAGAACCAAACCAAACCTCCAAGGATTAGAGTTAGATCACTTTAAAGAAAAACAGGAGTTCGACCTCTAGGGACTAAGAAGGCGACAAAGTGAACTAAGATGAAGATAAAATGACCAGATTCAAATCATGACACCAAATTAACTCAACACTACAGACTCACAACAAGGGCAGAAATGTTCCCTTCCTCGGTACGTCACGTCAAAACACGCGAAGTCGCACAACTTTCCAGCACAATTTGACCCAAGCGAAGGGCCGCGGACGACGCAGGCACAACAACGACGCGCATGGCGAAGCTCAACGACTTTGGTTATTCAAAGCGAGAGAACTAACGCAAATATTGTTTCTGAACACAAGACAAACTCTTGCAGACGCAGACAACTTAATATTTTGAATTTGTCTTTTTCTTTTCCTTCTTTCTCTGAAAAAGAAGGAAAATACTTACTTCGAAAAGAAGAAGCCACGGACGGAAGAACATCGACCAATCAGATCGTCAAAATCCGACCGGATATGACCGCATGCCCACCGCCTCTCACATTTGAAGCATCTCTGCCAAATAGCAATAGCAATAACTTTTCAAACGCTGTTTTCTGCTAAAATTATACGTCCTGTCAACATACGAAACACAATTTGACTTAAGATAGTTTGACGCCGTTAGACCGCTGAACATAATCATGGTAACGCCTTACGCCCTGAGGAAAGACTTTCCTCTATAATCTTCCTTGTGATTCATGATAAAGGATGCGGACGATCGTGATCCAAGACATTTCCTCATTGCACCGTCCGCAGGTTGCTGCGCTGAATCCCGTCTAAAACAGCTGGTAATTCTTACCTGAGATTTCGCCATTTGGCAAAGGACAATGGGAATTTGTACCTTTACGCTGTACTAAGTGGCGCACCTATTGATTTCGCTGCGACTGCTGATCGTCTGACGGTTCCTTGGCGGTGCAGGTCAAGGTATGTTGATCAGAATGCATGGTGCCGAGCCTTTCAGTGCAACATTAGGCCTACTGAATCTGCGTTGCTTTTACTTAAAAATAGATCAGGATCGTCTCCAACATTTGTCCCGTGCGCACTTCTGACTGTCACTCTTGTGCCGCTGACATTTTCAAGTGCTTGGAGCGCTTTCTGGCTCGGACGAATCCTTTTCACCATCACCCCCTTGCCCTGTGGGTGGGGGTGTGTGGAGGCAAGGAAGAAGCAGATGGAGTTGTCATGGTCGCTTTAGGCAACACAGCAACTTGAAGGAATAGGCCTGCTGAGTTCGTGCTGTCAGCTTATACTCTTCTGTGCAGCCTTCGTTTTTATCAACGTAGGTTTTCCCTTGATATCATTATCACAGAAGTAAGTGATGCAGCACATAGCAAGCTCTTCCTGGTTGCCAGAGGGGAGCCTGGGCAGCCTAGTCAAGTGAGAGTGCAGTCTATGTTATGACAGTCATGTGCCCTTATTTAGATCTTTCAAGTTTTACTCATTTGCCTTCCAGTTACTTTGCGGCAGGTCACTTGTTTGCCATTGAATCCAGCAAACTTTGGTATCTTAAGTCAGATTCTGGCTCCCATTGTTCCCATTGTATGTAACGAGAGGTGCCCATAAGTGACAAAGAGATGAAAGCAATATTCACCCATTTTTTTTTCATCCATTTTGAATGGATTTTTTGAATGTTTCTGTGGATGGATTTCAGAAAAGCCACATTTTCATTTGCTGGAAGATTGTTTTCTTTTGTGTGTGTGTACGTTTGTGTGTGCGGTTCTTTTTCTATTGTTCTTTAGATTTTGGTAAATACTTGGCTGTTTCAAAAGAACATTTTTTGTGTGTCACAAACACGATGTTACCTTGCATTTTTAAATAGAATAATCGATAGCTGTTTCATTTTTACTTTTATTTGTTTCAGATAAGACGCCCTCACAAGTTTTCAAGAACTCTATTGAACTATCAGGAGCCCTTCAAGTCATCATGAGTGATATGGAATCACTAGCCGAAGACCCCGAAGACATGGAAGAACCTGCAAAGCCTGAGGAACATCCTTTGGAAGATGTAAATCACCATGTTAACAACTTACTTCAACTGATACAAAGTGGTCAACCTGTGGCTCCAGCAATTCGATCTTTGTGGAGAGAATGTGTCCCTCAAGTTTTCCAGTTGGAAAAGGGTGAAAATGATGTTCCTCAATGGCCTTATAATGCTCTTGAAAAAGTTCTATTTGAAATCTTGGAGAGGTTCATGTGTGGTGGGAGTGAGCTGAAATGTATGATGGATCGCCTTACAGCACCACCATTGTGTGGACGCACTCTGAAGATGGGGGAACCAGCCTACTCTTGTAGAGAGTGTGGTACAGACCCCACCTGCGTGTTGTGTGCATTTTGTTTTAAGAACTCAATCCATCAGCATCATAAATACAAGATGCACACCTCGTTAGGAAATGGGCGTTGTGATTGTGGTGATGTGGAGGCTTGGTCCTCTGGACCTTATTGTGACACGCACCAAGAGACGAGGCTGAAGCATGATAATGACAGCAGCGTGTTTCCTGAGGATGTTGCCCTGAGAGCTCGCACCGTCTTTGAAATCGCTCTTTCCTATGCATTTGAGCTTCTGACTCACAAGCATTCGCTTAGCTTGCCTTCTGATTTAAAATCTGAAGATGGGCCTCTTCACATGGATTTTAAGGATACATACTGCGTAGTGCTGTACAATGATGAAAGCCACACATTTGAACAAGTTTTTGAAGCAATGCAAAAAGTTATGCATGATGTCTACAGAGAATTGGTGAATAGAGTTGACCGTGAAGGTCGTGCAGTCATCAAAGTGTGCAGTTTTCAGCAATGCACGGAAATAAAGAGTGAAGTAGAAAAAGTCACATCTAGGCAAAATACTCAGCCACTGAAGGTCCAAGTCCTGCATGTGGATGTAGTTGCACATCAAATTTTTGCCCTGAAGCTCTTGGACTGGATGGAAGGAATTGTTCAAACATCTGCCGGGTTCCGAAAAGAATTTGCGAGTGTTTTTTTGATGAACAGCCCCACCTCATCGATTGCCGAGAGAGTGCTCATGGATGATGCCAATATGTGGATAGCTGCTCGCCTCGCTTGGCACCGTTTGATCATGGCTGGATTGCTGATTGAGTATGACATCAAAAAGTCATTTGCTAAAATCTTCACGAAGAGATATGGTTATGTAACCAAGGAATACATAAGAGACGACCATGATCGCAGAGTATCGGTTCTGTCATTGTCTGTTCAACTCTATACTTTGCCCACAGTAGCACACTACCTTGTTTCTGATGAACGGGCACTTCTTATTCTCTGGAACACAATTGCATCTGAGTTTAATTCTAAAATCAAAGATAACAAGAAGTTCGCTTTTGAGCGCCATTCACTGTCCCTTCTTGGTAGGCGAATAGATCCTTTCTACAGGATTTTGGAAACTTTCTATGACATCAAGTATCTTTTAATTGTTGAGCCCAAAGAGTGGACTGATGATTTGAGACGTGGATTCTTAGAGGGGTTAAATACGATGCTTCAACTGATGGTTCATATGCAAGAAATGGAACCTGTCAAGAGACAAATCGGGCAACATGTTGAGTATGAACAAGAATATGAAACTGGATTTGCATTGCATAAGAGTATGGCACAAATATATCCGTTCGTTGTGGATTGGTGTGCAACTGACAGAGTTGTTCTGATAAAAGCATATCGTATGGTGCTAGCAAAATTGATTGAATGCTCTCCCATGGACTCACAACCTGAAAGACAAGTGATTGAACTGGCCAACCATAGTGCATCTTGTATTGTTTACGATCCAGGTGTGGAGCCTGTTTCAATATACCTTCCACTGAGCCGATTACTTGCAGGGCTTCACTTGGCCCTGGATAGTCATGGTTTATCATTTGACAGCCCAGAGCTTCAACGAGCAAATCAACCTAAGCCCACTCCTCACCTGCTGCTTGAGCCAGTTCTTCGATTGCAGGTGATGATTGCTCAAGTTTGGGCTGGGATGTGGAGACGCAATGGCTTCTCAATTCTTACACAAGTGGCCAAGTACCGCAGTCCCTCAAATCGAAATGAGATGCAAGACCGAGATATCTGTTTAATCCAGATCTGTGCTTCATTGATTGAGAGCAATGAATTTCTCATTATATTATTGCACAAATTCAACCTAATGAAGTGGGCTGACCCTAACTTTTTGGATACCCGAGATCCAGATACTCTAGGAAATGTAACAAGAATAGTTGAAGAGTTTTTAGGGCTTCTGGTTGTTATTGTGAGTGAAAGGTATACTCCAGGTGTTGGCATGGTCACTGAAGATGACCAGATGAAGAAAGAAATAATACAGCTGTTGTGTGCTGGTCCACTCTCTCATTCAGAGCTTTACAGAGCTTTCCCCTTTGGTCACAAACACCTGCAAGAAGCTCGGATTGAAGCTGTCATAGATGAAGTGGCTGATTTTAAGCGGCCTAACAACAAAGTGGGGCTTTATGAGCTGAAAGAAAACCACTATGCAGACTGCAATGTGTTCTTCTATCATTATGATGCTGAAGACAGGAGTCATGCTGAAGAAATTTTGAGGAAAAAGAACAAAGAGAAGAATGGTGTGGACTGTTGTCCACCCCCCAGACTTCCTGAGCTGTGCCCTCCCTTTAAAATGTTATTGAATCTGCTTCAGTGTGATGTCATGTTGCACATACTCAAATTAATATTGGAACGATCTGTCCACATTGGTGCTCAACACTCATCAGAGCTTCAACTTCACATGGCTCTTCACCTCATTGGCTATGCTTTGCAAGAGCAGGAACAGGATCCTGATGGCTTCTTAAAGTTTACCGACAAAGCAAGCAGTTGGAATATTGAGCGTTTGTTAGAAGACCTGCTGAACTGTGCTTCACTTGAAACGCTGAAAGATTTGATCAAGTGGGTCCTTACAAAGTATCGCTCCGTCAAGGAAGGCAGTCCTACATCTGCTGATGTCATTTCACCATCACCTGAGGCACAAGCTCAACAACTTGCCAACAAGGACAAAGAATGGAGAGCCAAAATGGCTGCAGAAAAGAGGGCTAGGGTCATGGCTCAAATGACTGCTATGCAGAAGAGTTTCATGAAAGAAAATGCTAGCCTGTTCCAAACAGAAAAGGAAGAGGAGGGTGATGTACAGGAAGACATGGATACCGTGGAAGTCAGCGAGCAGCCACCTGTAGCTGTTGGTCCAAACCAGAGTCCTATACAAGCTCAACAGGAGCATTACATTTGCATTCTTTGCCAAGAAGAGCAGGTGGTTTCATGTACGGGGCCTGCTCTGGTTTTAGCTGCTTACGTGCAAAGATCTGTTGTGATGTCTAGGAAGTCAGATGATGATTATACACCCGCACATGGACTGGTTCTATCATCTTGCCTAGGACCCGCCGCTTATGCAAGTTCTTGTGGTCATGTTATGCACGCCTCTTGTTGGAAGCAGTACTATGATAATGTCCAAGCCAAAGAAAGTCGCCGCCCATACCGCCTAAGACAGCCTGCTAGTTTTGACATCGAGAAGAAGGAATTCCTTTGCCCTCTCTGTAACTGTTTGAGCAATTCAGTGTTGCCTCTTGTCCCACAAATTCCTCTAGTTTATCCAGGTGGAAAGCTTGACATAAATGGTGTTGATAGTATTTCCTTCAAATCATGGCTGTTGGATCTGAGGAGGTGTCCCCTTGCCCAACAAAATCAGGTTAACAAAGGCGAGAAGAAACTCATGGACTCACTAAATCCGAATAAACCCGCGGTTGGCGCGGATGTTGCGGTAAAACCTCCTGAGTCAGCCTCCTCTGCTGCTCCAGAAGCCGCAAAGAATCCAGAAGCAGCATCTTCTTCAGAAACTCCTCGTAGCCAACCAAGACAACGAGAAGTTAGAAGAGAGTCTGACGAGGTAAATTGAAACTTTCTACCTTGTTTTGTATTATTTGTAGGTATGTTTTATAGGACTCTTGTTTTTGTTTTCAGGAAAGCGACTCATCATCATCTCACTCTGATGCTGAAGCCAAGAGTGCTAAAAGGCAACAGATGCATTCAGTGTCATTACCTTCTACTAGTGCTACTAGCGTTCCTTCGAACCCTCCTGCAGTCATCATGTCTGATGACTTAATCAACATGATGATGCGATTTACCGAATGCATTTGTATATCAAATGACTCTGATGCAAATGAGCCAGACATGATGCCTCTTCAAGCCTGGCAGTGCTGTGGATACACAATCCATGCATTAGAAATATTACTTCGAGATGAAGGAAAGCCTCTTCTGGGCCAATTATCATTACGCCAGCATGACTGTCTCAAAGGTTTAGTCCGTATGATGGCCCTCTTAACTACAGCAGCAAACAAACCAACAGCATCAAGCACACATGCACACATGATCTTCGCCCTTTTGGTCAACCATGATCCTGATCAAAGTTGTATTCTTGACTTGGATAGCTTTGGAGTGATGGTTCCTTTAGTTTTCCTTTTAGCTAAATGCCCAGTTCCTTCGGGTGGAGGGTATGAAATTTACTCCTTACGGCTTGGCCTGTTTATGGAGGTTATGAAATGCATTCTTGGCATTTGTCACGAGTAAGTAGTTGTTCTTGATAGAACATGTTCGACTTCATGATATTTTACAAGCAAGTTATAAAACGTTTGCTTTTTCTGTTTCCTAGGACGTTAAAGGGTCGTTTAGTAACGGATCATTGGGATGACCGGGACCTAGTAGAAACAATGGATGTGGATGAGGAGGAAGGTGCAAAAGGAGAGCCTTCACTCAATGGAGATCATCTTACTTTCACAAGAGACTTCTTAGACCTGATGGCCAATCAGCTCAATATGCCACTTTGTTCATTGCCTCATCCTAAAATTGTTTGGGAAAAGGTGTGTTTTCAATCACAATTTACAAAAAAAAAAAGTCTTGCCTATAAGCCTGACTTGTAAAATTTTTCACTCACTTTTTTTAATTTGATAACAAAATTATTTTTATCTTTTTCAGATTAAAGAACACTGCCAGCCTTTCTTAAGATGCTGTGTTCTATTTTTCCACTTCCTTACAACCATACCTCCCCGAGAGGCCCTGCTTTATCATGGAGGAGACACGTTTGAGAACATGTGCGCCTATCTTGGCTTGAGTGGGAGCTGGAGGACTCTCCTCTTTGATGGTGTTATGCAAGCCCTAGCTAAACATTGGACAAACCATCCGAGGGTGCAAGCACTTCTCAAAAAAGATCACTCTAGGGTACTTATCTTTTCAAAATTGAATTATATCGTCACTTTACTTCTCAATTATCCAATTTATAGATTTGGCTTACTGATTTGTTTGTTATTTTCTCCCTAGGTATTCACTTCACCACTAGAAATTAATCGTCTTGTTCCACTTCCTGGCGATTATAGTGAGCTCCTATGTTCAGTATTAGAATTTTACTGTCATGACCGAGTGGAATCTCGGTGCCCAACTATGTGTTTGATTTGTGGTCAAATGTTGTGTTCACAAACATCCTGCTGCATGCATAAAATTTTGGGCACTCAAGTTGGTTCATGCACATTTCATGCACTTAATTGTGGAGCAGGCTGTGGACTCTTTTTGCAAGTTCGGAGGTGTCAAGTTAGTATTCATTTTTATGATTCCTGGTCTTCTTCTTTTTTTTTTTTTTTTTTTCAATCACCTCTTTGAAGTATATTTTATAATTTTGTATGTTTCCTCCAGGTGCTTGTGCTAGCAATACCAAATCGGGGGACATTCATGACGCCACCATATGTTGACGACTATGGTGAAACTGACCAGGGCCTTAGGAGAGGCAACCGTCTACAACTGTCTCCTGAATTATACAAAGAACTAGAGCATATGTGGCTATCACATGGTGTTCGTGAGTTCATTTCGAGATCAATGGACAAGGGAGCTCCTCCGATTGCAGGACCGTGGCATGAACTCTGAATACCAGAACAAAGTGGGATCACATGGGTGGAGAAGCAGTCTGCCTTCCTGATGCAAAGGGCACAACCATTCTGGTAACAATCAACATCCTGGCTTGCAATGCACTTGTTAGATTTTTGAATGTAAGTTTAACTTTACCGTCTTGATGAATTAGAGTGTTAATGGGTCAGTCAGTTATCACTATACTCATAATTTTAATCTGATGATACTCATTTGGGTGAAATTGTCACCCTGCTATTTGTATCTGTAGACTGAGTATTTATGAGATGCACTTCGTGTGGTTCTTTATCTCTAAGAAATAATTTGTTTCTGTTAAGCAATAGGCAAATAAAGCAATATGTGTTGATGTCTCCTTTGTTCACAGTGAACTTTTAATAGAAAGAATAGTTCTATGCTGGCAGTTTCTTGTTTCTATTAATTTATGAAATCTTATGCCGTTTTGTCATTCAAGAAAGACCCCCTCCCCATATAATGAAGACTAGTTTCAAATTTGAGTACTCTGTGGGCCTCTACGTTAATCAATTCTAAGGAAATATAAGGCAACATACCTTTCACTATTCTGAGTTGCCTGACAATGAAATTTTGTAAAGACTTGTTCGTTTGCCTTTCAGACGGCTCTCTCAGTGGGCTCTCTTCTTATTCTTGTTTTTTACCAAAGTGTTTTTCAAGTTCTATCGACAACTTTGGAATATTTGCTATTAGATAACATCAGTTTGTGACTTATGTTGCTTACAATTTTTTCTACCGAATGTAGAGTGCTTTCACTCTTTTTTTTGTGAGATTGTTGGCCTGAAAAAGGATACTTACAGGTTTGGTCTAAAGCATTTGGAGGGGCTTCCTATTCTATTCCGCTGTACACTCTGCACTAGTCAGGGATTGTAATAACCTTTTACCTGGATCTATGTTGGGAGGTTAGCTGAATTGGTTTTGTTTCATAGAATGTTCTTCTAGCTGACCAACTCTTGTATAATATTATCTGAGATGTGCACCTTACATATTTAAAATAAACTTCTTTTGTACATTTTAGATCTTTCAATTATGATGAGAAATTATATCTTTGTTGATGTTACTAGTGATTTTTTTTTCTTTTTCTAATTATTGTCTATTTTTGGATGAATGTAGGGAAGTGAACTCTAGCCTTACTCTATGTTGCCTTGACACAGAAGCAGCTTTTCTATCTTCTTAACTTAATAAGTAATCCTGTGTATGTGTGGAAGGATCATCACTCGTTTGAATTTTTATTATGACTACCATTTGGTTTGAAACTTAGTAATAAAGTTTATTAATGTCTCATTTCAGGTATGAGTTCTTATTCAATATTCAGACTCCTCTTCCATGCAAACAACCCTATTCTGTCAACCGACTCAGAAAATAAATAACTATTTGGTGAGATATAGGAAATGGGGATAAGTAAGTCACAAAAATGTGATCATTGTTTTTTTTTAATAATATGAGCCAACTTCAAAATGTGACCAGTACAGTCATGTCATCCAATACCATCCATATGGTGCTACACATCTATTAATTTCAAAACATTCTACTCAAATCATATCACTTCTTGCATATCACTTTGTCATCTTAACAGCACTAGTAAAGAAATTAAACACCAATAACAGCACTCTCCAGCAGAATGCAGCGTAAGCACCTGCATTTCACACTTGTGATTATTTGTGACTTTCACTAAACTGATGTAAATATCCCATTGATTACCAATTCTAAGTATATGTAGTTGAACCAGTGCCAACAGCATCAAAACAGGCATGTGTAAAACTAAATTAAAATGCTTAACAGACATCATAGCACAAGTTGTAACATAAGAATTGTACACATAACAGCAGCTTTTTTCAACATCCAAAATACTACTCTTAAACCCTAAGTCAAAGTACACATTCATTAAACATACAGATTGTTACTTTTCGTTTTTCAAAAAATTGGGTTTTCTTTGTTTGTTTGTTAGTAACTCACAAAGTTCTGGTCCACCTCCAATCAAGCCAGTCATTGTCAGTGAGAAACTGTAGAAGCTTATGAAAACAAATCTTTGACAGCTTAAAAGGAACATGCTACTGACTCACTCATGTGCCTTAGTCTATGGTATGTCCTAACAAAAAGGAGAAACAATTTGTGCACTGAGATAGCAGTAAAACCAATTTGTATCAAACATGCATTTGTTTCAAACCCACCAGTATAGAATTGCTACTTTGGCCCCTCTAAAGTCCTACGTGATAATAGGTTTTGTTGACTATCAATGAGAACATGGCAAAATTTGAAATGCAAATTTCCACACCATTAAAGTGAAAGAATGGCAAGATTGAGCTCAATACTGAGCTCAATTTTGAAATGTTTTCTTAAAAAGTGCTTATCTGGCAAAGACAAACCAAAACCAAATAGTAAACACTATACTATTTAAGAATCCTGCCCATCATGATCATTAGCAAATTCGCACACAATATCACAGATGTGGTGAAGTCACAAGTTCTCAGCAAAAAGTCTTCCTCAAAACAGAATCATACATACTGTACATTCTACGTAAAAGAATATGTAAACAAATCAAACAGGTACTAGAATTACTTCCTTAAGTATAATTCTGATCTGCTACAGTCCGAGTACTCACTCTAACAACCTAACATTTGCTCCAAACACCTGTACAAACTAATAAATAATGAACCAAGACCTTCTATTGGAGAATATCCAACCTGTGGTTTCTTTCACCAACACACAATATGTATTAAAGACAACAAAACATCAGAAAACACCAATAATTTTGATCATATTGGTTTAGAAAAAAGAAAAAAAATAAGAAGGAGAAAGTCGATTATATAACTAAAACAGCACAAGATTAGTTTTAAAAAATATTGGGGGAAAAAACTAGTTTTTTTAAAATTAATTGAGATGGCCACACTAATAATAGTTAAAACTTACAAAAAAGAGAAAAAAAAAACAGGGAAGTTATTGTCACTTTCAAACACTATACACTAAAATTCAAGATGTTGGTCTTGAGAGATTTCTCAAAAGTATGCAAGACATTTAGAAGTATTGATGGAACTTTCGCATCAAAATGTTATTCTATATTTGGTCATCTTTCAATAAAAGGAGTAGGTACAGACCAAACAAAGAGGTTTTCAGTAATGGTAGAAAAAAGGCACCAACACATCTGGGGAAAAGGGAGGACAGACAAGGTTGGGAAGCTTTCGGACTTGACTAGACTGTATACTCCATAGCATATTCAGCTTTTGCCTCCTCCATCAGATGCCATTTGAGCAGCAAGATCAGCAAACTTGGCAACATAATCAAAACTGTTCTCAGTCATAAGGCATTGCATGTGTGTTTCCACCTACAAGGTAAAAATAAGACTAGTTACTTTGAGAGACAAGAAAAGCTTCATTTTAAAGTGGAGATGAAAGTTAGACTTACATCAGATGCTATTGAGGTTTGTTCAGTATTGCCTTGTAATGGCTCCGAAGTTGACTTCATCGGGGATTCCAAATGTCCCAAGAAACTGCTCAGAGAAAAATCCTGCCAAGAAAAGAAAAGGGTAAATGAAATTATCTAACTTACTAATGAACCCAAAAGCTTAGTTATAAAATTGGTCAAACAGAGAAGTAGAAAACCACACAATGAGGAAAAAAGGAATAAGACAAAGTATGTACCTCTGAGTTGAGCCACTGGTTCTCATCTTCCTTCAGCATAGTAGCAGGACTGGGTGGCGGTGGAGATGACACTCCTGTACTTGACAACAACCCTGTGGAACAAGAAATAGGGTTTTTTTCTGAATATTTCAACAAATGATATGCAAGAGGCTTACAGGAAAAAACGAGTGCCTACCAGTGAAGTTTGTCTCCATTATTGGGCTGGATGTAAGGCCTAGCTCACTAGGCAGAGACAGATCCAGAAGGCTTGAAATACTTGGTGGAGAGTTCACAGGAGTATCTAGTGTGGGAGGGAAGAGATCCTGGACAAGATGGCGGGATTGGTGCTCATTGTCTTCTTTGATCACAATTGGTTTTTCTAGGAACAGAACAGAACAGATTATTGACAATCAAGTGACAAACACAGAGTACATAAATGAAACAAGAAACTCACCATCACACAAATTAGGCATAGAAATCTCAATGTCTGCTCCTGAAGAGTTAGGTTTGCAAGTTGATGAAACAATAGTCTTGGAGGATGAGGTTTGAATAGTTTGGGCTTCAGAAATTTTATGAGCAAACTGTGGCATTGGTGATTGCAGAATATTTGGTGAACTTGTAGGAGTAAAGTTAAGAATGCTGGGAGACTGAGCGATGGGATGAAATCTCCCATCATTGGAGTACTTTGATTCATCACCTGCAAAGCAACATTTAAACAATCAAACATCAATGAGTTATGTCAAATAACAAATGGGAAATTTACAATAACAACACATACCTGAAAAGTGACAACTGAAGTCTGCGGAGCTTTAGGTAGCAGAGGCAGCATTCTGGGCACAACAACATTCTTCTTCACCGAAACTGGCCTACCTCGCCTGTTGCAACCTCTGGGTCGGAATTTCTGAAAGCAGTACAATTATAATTGATGGCAAGGTAAGTCTAAATGATGTGAATACAGAGAGCACAAGATAAGATAAATTACATCTAATTGGGCCTTGAATGCGTCAGCAGTTCCAGGTCTGGGAGGCGGCTTGAAATGAGGCGAGGGCATCAAAGGTCTTCGGAATGGACCATCATTCGTAGAAGGTGGACTTATTTTCACAACTCCATTAGGAATTTCAAGTGGAATTTCAGTTTTGATTATTTTCTGAAAAATACAATTAACCCACTGAACAATTGCACTCCTTTAATAGTGTCATCAGGAATCTAATCTAATCTGCTAAACTTACATCAACCTCAGTGTTCACACGCAATGGCCGAGCAACTTTCGCTTTAGGTACAGTTGATTTTGGGGTGCCATTGCAGACATGGCCACAGGGACACTGGAAACCGAGGGAAATGAATAAGAACATTGTACTACTGCAAAGTAACTTAAAAAATTGTAAAAATTTAAAAATAATGTTGCCTTACCTTGGCTTGAGAGCTATACATTTTGGATATTGACAATAGTTTTTGAAGGGCTTGGCTGAGTTGATTGTTAGGGGCCTTTGGAGGAGGTGAATTGGATAGTTCCTGTGAAGAGGGTCCCTCAGAAAGTGTAGCAGATGAGGACGAGGTTTCTTTGCTAGCTGTATCCTGCCTCTCCTCCCACCAATACTCCATTTTAATTTTGGAATCTGCACCAAACTGAAAGAAATACAAATGCACAAAAAGATGATGGACGACTGAGCATAAGAGAGGGCTGATTTCTCCATGAAGTAGTTTTACTCACCATCAGATACAGCTCACCGATCGTAATAGCATTTGCAGAGTCTCTAGTCCACCCCGCACGTACTCTTTTGATGATTTCCTCATTTGACTCCGCTGCTGGGCTTCGCAACGTAGATGGTTGTTGGTTGCCGCTTGCATGACCATTGTCTAGAGAACTACCTCCAGTAGGCACATTAATATTATCATCTTTATGCTGCATGATCTTACTGCTCGAAGTTCCTACATCTCCATTGGCTTTGTCTCCATGACCTGAGTGGTCCGCAACGAAACATAATAGAAAATATTACTCTTGACATTGGCAACACGTTGAAAAAAATGTTTGAAAAGAATTTTGATGTTAGGCACCTGAGTCTGCACTGTTGCTGCTGGGATCCAAACTAATGCCACTTCCAAACAAGCGAAAAGCACAAGACGGTTTAGCATCTTCATTCTCAGAAGGGGTGAAAATACCCGACTGAGAACCATCCTTTGATTTTTCGGGTGAGGAATCAAGTTGCGGCTGAGGTAAAAGTAGCTCTTTTTTCTTCTCACTAGAGCTGTCATTGCGCTGGCGTTTTGTTCCTCTTCTTCCACACCTGAAATTTATAACTTGTATATAACAATACCTCAAGACTTGTGAGAGATCAGCTCAGGGTAAGAAGGAACAATACATTTCCAGGGGAGGGACATGGACAACGCTACCCAGAGCCTTAGCCTTACCCTTTAGTGCTGGCATGTAACATGGAATTGAAGAGTTGTTCAGCACCATGATTTCCTAATCTTCCTTCATGAGAGTTGAGGCTTAAGCGACTGCTTGTAAATATCGCTTAGGTTTATAGTAATTGGCATTATAGTGGAATCAGATTTAGGAGCAAATCGTAAAACATATTGTTTTTGAACTTCGTTCTTTATGTTTGGGCTTTTAGATGTGTTGGTAGAGTCTGTATTTCCACGTTTTCCATCATTGGGAACCAACACATTTGAGGCTCCCGCATCCACATTTACCTGAAACATCAAAAAGTTTAATGAAAGTGAACAAAATGCAAATAGATGTTGAGGTCAAGTATTTGTAATATCAACTTACATTCAATGACAGAGTCTCATTGATACACTCCATATTGGCAGTCACCTCATTAAGTTGAGACTGAAGACGCTCACAGTGTTTGAGTGAGTGTGGCTGCCATCGCTGCTCAAGGAAACTAAGAAGACTTGACAAACGCCTTTGTAGAGGAAGCAGAGTTTGAACCCTAGGATTTTGGGCTGTTGCTTGGACTCGAGCCCATGCTTCATTTGTTCTGGGTCTAAGTTCAACAGTAACTCTAGTCGGGAGCTTCAAATCTTCTGCTAGGTCTTCCTGTTGGTTTAGCTTGCGCAAAGCTCGACAAATGGGGGTTTTGACTCTTATTCCTTTGCCTCTCACTCGAATGGTAGTGAAGCCCCTAAAATTAAGACAAAACATTCCGCATGTAACAATAACCTAAACCACAACTGAAGAGGTGAATCACAAAGCAGAACAAGCTGCTAACCTGTAAATTAGTTCATTAAGTTTCAAGCTAGTTTTCTCCGACACACTTCCAATTTTCTTTCGTAACTCTCCAAAGTTAATAAGTCCATACAATTCTTGAGTTGCTTTCTTCACTTCTTCAGGAAAGCGCAAATGTTTGGATATTTGTGCCATGTTCTATAATAGAAATGTCTTATCTGCTCTTTGTTCTTAACTGTGTGTTCTGTAATATTTTTACGCTTTGCTTTGGCCTCAAAATATCTTTGAATAGCATCAAAGTCCTTTCCAAATTCATTTAAAGCTTCAAAGAAGGTGTTCTTGTCCTCCTGAGGCCACAGCTCAAAGGGTCTTCTCTTGGTTTAACATCAAGCTTGTCTTCCTCCTTAGGAACATCTGCAAGCAAAAAGTTTGATGGTTTAGAAATGTAACACAAAATTGAGTTAAAGATAGCTATTGACTTGTTTTACTTGAGAACAGAGTCATACCTTTTCTTTCAGGTGGAGTCTGATTAGCAATAACGTCCAATCGCATTTTCTTTGACACACGTGCGCTAGTGCGAAGCTGAACTGAACTATTCTTGTCTCCATTTTCCAATTCTTGACTTTGCACAACGGAGCCAAGAACTTCTGGTGGATCTTGGGCAACAGCAGCTTGGTCCACAGGAGGCACAGATGGAATACTTGACACAAGTTCTCCATTTTCACTCTCTGGCAAAATGGAGCATGCATCACTGACAGTGATGGGCCCAGTGCTACTGTTGTCATTTGCTGGACAAGCACTCATCCTGAAAACAAACAAACGCAGAAAAATGTTTAGACTCCACATCAAAAGTACTTGGCAAAAGTAGATCAGCAACCTAGAACGATCTGTGGTCAAAAAGGTTACAACTCTGATTTTTTTACGACTTCATTTGATTGTGATATGCAATAGAGACTAACAACCCACAACCCTTCAAAAAAATAGAAAGGCCATGATTTAATCCGCGTACACGATGCAAGTTTCATAGCCGAGGCGATAACAATTGCAAACAACGATGCCGTAAAGACATGACAGCAAGATCTAAGCATCAGCAATGCTGGCAATGCATGTAGGCAGGGGGATAAACAAACAGCATCTCAAACCACAAATTCATAACCACACTTACCCCGAGCTGATAGCAGCCTCTGCGCCTCTAAATCATGATAAAAATCATGAGTGGACTTTAACATAGCGCTGTTTCAAGAGAAGAGCGGCGAAAAATAATTCATCTTTTATTCGCCATATCGTGCGAAAATCTGGCATCAACTATCCAACATGTCTTCTCGCCCCCGAGCGGCCGAACGCGAAGCTAATAATAACTTCTTGCACCGCAACTAGCACACTGATCGTTAAGCCTGAGGCCACAGGCGGAAATAGGAACAGGACACGTATTTTTAGGGTGATCCAAGACTGGAAAAGGCGATTCAAGTGACTGTTTTCCGTGGAAACGAAATCAAAGTCGACTGACTGCGGCGTTCAGGCGTCGAGTCGAGTCGGGCACATTGTTCACGAGCACCCGCTAAACTCCTAGCACCACACCGACAGAAACACCCAAACACCTCGATGGGTGATGGCAACAACTGGGAAACCTGACTTTTAATGGGAGAGATAAATAATAAGGAACAATAACCAATAACGAGGAGCACGAACTTAAATGTTTACAACCCAATAAAAACTGGAGTTCCATTGAATGACCAACATGATAGACCGGTTGTTTACTAGGTCAAATTTGACTATTAAAAACAACTTAACGAGTTGAAGGGTCTATTTAAATTGGTCAGTGGGAATATTTCCAATCGAGTCTATGTGATGCAATCGGCCATCATGATCAAGACAACAAGATAAACAGTTCTGAAAATTAGGTTTGGTGTGGGCGAGGTTTGTGATATTGACAGCACCGCCTTGCAGCAAACAGGGAAGAACCACTTGCAAATGACAGATTGAGGTTAGAGATCTTCACAGTTCGTTCATTTGCTCATTGCATCAAGATTGCATTGCTCGATAAGCACGGAGTTTAGGACACAACGGCATTAAAGAATTTTCCCTTGATCGTAGAAAATGTCTGAGGAAGGTGAGGTGGATGTCAAACCAGATGTCAGCAACACTTTAACTCCTGCTCAACTAGCCATGATAGAGCGAAACAGGCAGAGAGCTATAGAGATTAGAAGGGCAAAATTAATGCCTCACCCCTATGCAAAAGTGTAAGTGCTTGTATGATATGAGCCTTTCATACATATCTTTTTTTTCAATGAAGCGTTGCATCATTTAGTCGTTAACTCATTTACAGAGATAAAGGTACTGCGGAGAAAACCGTAGTTCGCTCCAAGAGCACTAAGGTCATTGATACTGGCGGTGGTTTCTTGCTTGAGGAAACTGATGATCCTGATCAGAATAAAGAGACTGTAAGTAACCATGCTGTTGGTGATTCATGTGCATGTTTACATTGGAGAACTGTTCAGAATCCTCGTTTATGAAGTTTCATCAGTAATTTCGTATATTTTGTCTCATTTGTGTTTCAGGCAATTGTAAAAGAGCCGGGTCCCATTTTGCCTCCTGATTGCCCTGTATGTGAGGAGTGTCAACAAGAGTTTTCTGACTCCTGGTTACTAAAATCTTTCGACCATTCTGTGTGTGACGGATGCAGGTATGGTTAAACCAAGTAGAACTTTTGTTTGAGCCTATCAACAGTAGATAGAGTTTGGGCCATTGAATGGTGTTTATCTTATGTTACTTTTCAGGGACAATGATGATAAGCATGCACTCATCACAAAAACTGATGCCAAAACAGAGTATCTCCTGAAGGATTGTGATCTTGACAAGAGAGAGCCCATATTGAAATATATTGTCAGGAAGAATCCTCATAATCCACGTTGGGGCGACATGAAACTTTATCTTCATGTGCAGGTAATGTGAGAAAAATAAATATCACTGTTGAATTTGAAGTAGTTTGGGGATCTATGACATTTTTATTGATTGCAGATTGAAAAGCGTGCGTTGGAAGTATGGAAATCGGAGGAAGCACTTCTGGAATACAAAGAAATGAGGGAGGAGAAGCGAAATGCATCCAAGGTCAAAAAATACAACAAACAACTGAAAGGTAATTAGAAATTTAGGGTATTGTCATTAATTTCAAATTTTAAACCAGATATAATTTATCAGTATTATTTTTCCAGCTCTTCGAATGAATGTTCGTAGTAGTCTGTACGACCGCACTTCAGCTGCTGCCCATACTCATACATTTGGACCAGAATCATACAATGAAGAAGACGATAATTACACTCGTACTTGTTCTACATGTCAATTTGTTGATGTCTTTGAGAAGATGTAGGCACAACCATTTTTGATAGAGCAGGTGTGCTTTTTCTCACATGATAAATTTTCTTAATTTTTCCCCTTCGTTTTGTAAAGCATTTGGCCTGAGCCCTGTAAGGTATTGTACAAATCTGCGTTGTGATATTTTCTCTAGGTGTAGGTTTTTGGAACTGTCCAAATAGTAGTATTATGTAACTCTGAATTTATAAAAATATCTGTATCTCTTCAAGGAGTTACGTATCTCGCTAAATTAATGTTCACTTAGTGTAAGGTTTTTAATAACATTTTACATGTTTTTACCATTTATTTATATCTTCTGAAGTTTGTGGACATGCGGGTTCCTTCATTCTCTTGTTGTATCTGATCATTAATCTCTATTTAGGCATAATATGATATGTTATCTGATCAGAACTACATAGAAAATGAAATTTGTAAGCATGAGCGTAATGTTTTTTTTTTCTATCTTTTTAAATCTTATGTTAATTTTTTTATTTTGTTTTTGGGTGTTTGTATGTGTGTCCTCATACGAACTTTTAGTACTAGCATCAGCCCTGTGAAATGTACTCTTACATGAAATACAAAGCATGTTCTTTGGCAAGACAGTGAAATTTTCATTGTGCCCTCCATCATCGTACCAAACACAGAGTTTTCAGGAGCCGGATCTTTTTTAATTCATTCAAGTACTTATAATCAACTCAGCTCTTGGAGCCAGCAATAGAACAAATCTGGTCTCATCGATTCAGTGAAACGATGTGACCCAAGTGGCGCAGCCGGTCAAATTTGCCGCTTCGTCGGAACTGCCAGCCAACTAACAACCAAGAAATTAATAAAAGTATGATGTTTCTCATCATCTCTAGGACTAGCTTCTACGTCCGCCTATTTTCGCTGCCTGGTTCAATCCTCCAAGTGTCCTCGCATTATCTTAGTTGTTACCTCGGAATGCTTCGCGTCTTCAGTGTTGGGAGTTGGCACGTCTGAACTTGTGCCCCGAGCTGTTACCGCGTGCACAGCAGGCGCAGGGCGTATTATAGAGGTGTTCGGTCTGCTCCCTCTCCATCCGACATTATAGCAGAAGGGTCAATCATGAACAACTTCGGTCGAGTTTTGGCCGCTGTGCCATCATGGTATGTCAAAATTGCCGTCGATTTGCGTACCGAATCTCCAGGGGTTGTCGCGTGTGTTGATTTAGCGGCCGTCAGCGCTAGTTTTGCCGTTTGTCCTTCTCAGGGCCAGCAGCTCGCCAAGTTGCTAAGCTAGGCTATCTTCGCTAGCCGACCGCTTTCGTTCGCGGATTTGCCTGTGACACTCTCATTCATTCACTGTGAATCAAGCAGCTAATGGAGTTGAACTTCCAAGTGCAAATGTCGTTATTGTTGTGTAGTGACTTTCAATAAGTGGTCGGGTTCGCACTTGTCTTGGTGCCACTGTCTCCACTGAGTGACCTGACCTCTGTCCGGGAGGATTTGCTCGTTATGTTCTTCCGGCTCGTAAATCAGTGGAGGTGACCACAATTAATTGGTTCCGTCTTATTTTATTTTCTGTTGCTTTTTACCTTTTGCCTTTAGCCGGTCAATTGTGACGCTTATTGTTCCTGTTAAGGTTAGGGTAATCCCAGTAGGGTTAAGGGTGAACGGGTGTTTTCTCTATTCCCGTGGTGGAATGACGTTAATTCTATGCAAGCCTACTCTTGACGTGAAATTTTTAAAACCGGGAGCTGTTTTCTGACACTCATCGTATTTTTTTTGTATCGGCTGTCAAACTCATTCAAATGCAGTTGCCTTCGGGACGTACACTTTGGCCGAAAGTTGGTTGTAAATCCTTGTCAAGTGACTTGTTTCGTATATGCATGTTAATTCACTGCAGTGTGTCTTTATCTGTTGGAATTGTCGTAACAGTGGATTGCTTATTTTCACAGCGTGGCTCAGCAGCAACAGGCCCGTGGAATGGCCACACTGAAGGCCATTTCCATCCGCCTCAAGTCCGTCAAAAACATTCAGAAGATCACCCAGTCCATGAAGATGGTGTCTGCTGCCAAGTATGCCCGAGCTGAGCGAGACTTGAAGCAGGCCCGCCCTTACGGAGAGGGTGCTGCTGTAAGTACACTCTCGAATGCTTCCTTCATAAACCCAAATTGCATTCCAGACCATTTTTATGCCATTGTCAGCTTTTTTGTGAATTCTGATTTCATTTTGTTCTGACTACAGGCCTTCTATGAACGAGCTGAGGTTACCTCAACAGAAGAGAAGCCATCAAAACTTTTAATAGCCGTTACCTCCGACCGTGGTTTGTGCGGTGCTGTGCACACTGGTGTTGCCCGTCAAATCCGTAACGAGCTGGCCACCGATGATGGCTCAACCAAGGTGGTCTGCATTGGTGACAAGTCTCGCGCTATTCTTCAGAGGTCTGTTTTTTTCCCCATAGATATTTGCTCTTGTTATATTTATAAGTTGCGTTTTCAATTGTCTCTCATGTTATCCAGGCTGTACGGCAAGCATCTGTTGTTGGTTGCCAATGAAGTCGGCAGGAAACCACCATCTTTCCTGGATGCTGCCAGGATTGCCACAGAGATCGCTAAGCTGGATTTCACCAGTGGCAAGATTATCTTCAACAAATTCAAGTGTGTTTTGATCCAAATTCATTTTAATAATTAGTAGTCTTGCGAACGATTTTACATTTTATTTTTATTTTCAGGTCTGTGGTGTCATACCAGGTGTCAGACCTGCCTCTGTTCAGCTTGGATTCTGTGTCTAAGGCACCCAAAATCACGACTTATGATTCTTTGGACGATGATGTCATCAAGAGCTACATGGAATTCTCCCTGGCCTCCATGCTCTATTACGCCATGAAGGAGGGTGCTTGCTCTGAGCAGTCCTCTCGTATGACAGCCATGGACAACGCCAGCAAGAACGCCGGTAAGTTGCCTCAGCTACATATTCTTTCATTGTGTTCTGAACGTGTTTGTAGAGAAAGTCTAATCCTTGATTTGGTGCATCAGGTGAGATGATTGAGAAGCTGACTCTTACATTCAACCGAACTCGCCAGGCCGTCATTACCAGGGAACTTATTGAAATTATTTCTGGTGCCTCAGCTTTGTAAATCAATTTCATTGAACCTTAAAGTAGTGAATGCCTCTACGGCTTCATCAATGCTAGCGGGCAACAACACTGTCAGTGTAATTGACCCAGATTTTATAAAAAGCTCATCTGTGTACCACTTTTTTTTAACTTCACATAAAACAATCAATCTTATGCTGTGCATAAGTGATGCATTTGGTTCTCTGGGAAATGTCACTAGCTCTGATCCATGTACAAACTTTCTAAAGCTATTATCATGAATAAAGAGGATTCATGGAACAATGTACTCTGCCTCTTTTACTGAAAAGGCTCCAATCGATTCACACACATTTTATTCTGTAGGTTCTGATACAATACACAAAAACCATATCATAAACAATAGCAGTTATGAAGAGAATTTAAATATTTCACAAATTGACATGCAAAACAATTACCATGTAATAATTGTGCTACCACAAATGTGTTAATTTGTAGGAAGTATTGAAGTTGTGCTTATTGTGATCTCATATCAAATGTAATGAAAATATTCTTATAACAAGGGCATTGGCACTTACATTTAAGTACTTGTACTTATAAAAGTACTTTCATAACTTGGTGATAGGACTGGGGGTGCTGCCTCTATCTCCTGTTCAATGTCTGAAAAACAAACGAATTTCATTTGATATGCGTTTTTAATTTTAACTGCAAATTTAAGTTGATAGATAGCTTTTTTTAGGCACTTCGTCAGTTATAACATTATGCATATTGCTCATCTGAAAGTCTTAAAGAACATGACTAGAGATTTCACATGAGAACATTAAAAGTTGAGTACAGACTAGATAGATGCAACATGGAAGATACCCAGAAATGATCCCAATCAATGAGGAAATGTCACTCTGTGAAAAAAATCCTAATATTTTCCAAATTGCAACACTCAACATGGGGAACACTATGTATTTACACAAGATAAATATCTACATGAAGACAAACAGTGGTTTTTTAGTGGAAGAAAATCACCATATACAAGCATCTGCCACTGGTTTGTCATACAGTCTTAGTTCTAATATATACTACATGACGGTTTTGTCAATAATTGGCATCATGAAACTTTAATCATACTTCAGGTAAAGAACTTATCTAACCATTAAAGTCCAAACAATTGTTTCTACACCATAGGTAAACTTCAGTCATGATGTTACATCGGTCAATGACATTAATACAAATGCATCAGTTTTGGGGGAAGATTGTCTGACAAATATATGACTATCAAACAAAGCTTCCACAATTGGCATTTAAATTAACTGCTTCTGGAACAAAAAAATGTCTCTGTCACCCACAGAGCACCTACGAGTATTTACATGGGCTGAAATACAAAAATTTGACAGCAATATAGAAACTTAATGACTAGGTTTTATTCTTTTAAGGCAACTTAGTTGGTTGAGTATAGTAAAATCCACAATTGGCTAAACAGAAATCCAACCAATGACTTCCGCAAATCTCCTTTAACATCACACAAATAGATGATAAAATGGACAAATACACCATGAAAAAAATGCCACAGGCACAGTGAGCCACAGTTCTCAAAACACATTTCCTCAAATCCCAAATTGCCGCTCAGCCACTGAGAGGCAGTTCAAGGCCTCCAAAATTGAGATCATCTGGGAAGAGTGAGTCTGAGGTGATGGTGGATGTCATGTCGTTTAAGAGGTACAACCCGGCTAGCTCGTCCTGGAGTCCGCTTTCAGCTATCACTTGCTCAGCGGTTAGGTCGCCGTAGAGGAATCCTGCAAGGAAAGGAGACGGACGTCAAGGACAGCAACGAAGGCAACCGCTTCCACTGCCCTAGCGAAACATGGACAGGCGAACAGGACGACGCACAGTGGGCTAGAGGACCGGCGGAGACGGCCAAAATCCCGGACGCGTTTTGAGCTCTTGAGTCGCTAAATGGGACTCGAACCGAACGTGTGACCCCACCAATGGATTGCTCTCCGAACGAGGAATCCATTGGTGGGGTCACACGTTCGGTTCGAGTCCTGTTTAGCGACTCTGGAGCTCAAAACGCGTCTAGAGTTTTGGCCGCAGGCATCCAAGTCAGTGGCGACGCGTCGAATGGGTTGCCTACCTCGCAGGCGGCTGGGCAGGGTGCCTGCAGTGCTTTGCACTCTTGTGTTCCGCGTCGGCACGCTTCTGCTTTCCGCACGAATACCTTTATCCCTACCACGCCATACCACGCCAGCACATGAGCCGACTCGGTTCTACAGACTCTAGGACCGACACGGAGTTAGAACACGCGCCTCAAGTCCAACAACGCTCAGAGGGAAGTACCAGCGCACAGTGGGCCAGAAGACTGGCGCAGACGGCCACAACTCTAGACGCGTTTTGAGCTCCACAGTCGCCAAAGAGGACTCGAACCGAGCGTGTGACTACACCAATGGATTCCGAGTTCGGAGAGCAATCTATTGTTCGGGTCACCCGTTCGGTTCGAGTCCCATTTAGCGACTCTGGAGCTCGAAACGCGTCCCGGACTTTGACCGCCTCCACTGGTCTTCTGGCCATCTGTGCAGCGTGCACTTACCTTTCTCCTCCTTGGTCTCCAGCTTGAGGACTTCGGCGTCCAGGTCGCCGTCCAGGTCGCCGTCGAGGTCCATGGGCGTGAGGAACTCGACGCCCACCTCCCTCTTGACCCCCGAGAGGATCTCCTCCGCGGACCGCTCTAGGCTGACTCGCTCCGACCACCACTGGAAAAAAAAACACGCAACTCAGAGAAGGGAAGACGGGGCAGGGTGCGATCCCCCGAAAAACTCTGTTTGACTGCCGACTGATTTCGAAGATAGTTGAAGGGAGGTTTCCGTCCACCAGTGGGAGGCCGCGACCTATCAGAGACCTTCATACCTCCCACTAGTGGACGGAAATTTCCCTTCGCCACACAGTGGGCCAGAAGACAGGTGGAGGCGGCCAAAACTCTAGACGCGTTTTGAGCTCCAGAGTCGCTAAGCAGGACTCGAACCGAACCTGTGACCCCACCAATGGATTCCTCGTTCGGAGAGCAATCCATTGGCGGCGTCACACGTTCGGCTCGAGTCCTGTTTAGCGACTCCGGAGCTCAAATCGCGTCCTGAGTTTTGATCGCCTGGTAGCGCTCTGCGTACTCACCCACGAGTTCTTGACCTTGTTGTTGTTGTCCATGACGACCCAGAGGTGGCCCGCGCCCTGCGGCGCCTTGCTCTCCTTGCGGAAGTGCGGGTTGATGGACAGGTTGTGCCGCACCGAGTTCTTCCACCGTTCGTCCGAGGCTTGGTAGAAGGGGAAGTGTTTCCTGGAAAGCGCAAAGCAGAAACGCCCCCTTGTTTACAGTGCTCGTGTTGCGAGAATGGGCCAGAGAATGTTTTAGCCTGCGTCCACGAGTTTTGCAAGGCAGCAACTGAAAAGGTAAGTGTTGCATTTTTGTTGATGAAGAAATCATGGGATGCAGGGCAGATGAGAGGGCCGCACAGAGGGCCAGAAGACCGGCGGAGGCGGCCAAAACTCTGGATGCGTTTTGAGTTCCAGAGTCGCTAAATGGGACTCGAACTGAACGTGTGACCCCACCAATGGACTGCTCTCCGAACGAGGAATCCATTGGTGGGGTCACACGTTCGGTTCGAGTCCCATTTAGCGACTCTGGAGCTCAAAACGCGCCTACAATTTTGGCCGCCTCCACCGGTCTTCTGGCCCACTGTGGGTCGGCCGAAGAGGAGCGACGGTTCCGTCTTGCTCGTACAAACTTCCGCTAATCATCCCCCGCCCGCTGCCGCCCCATCCCCGCCGCCATCGTGATTGCAGTCAGTCAGTACAGCGAGGCACAGCAGACTGATTCCGAGAGTCGTCGCTCTGTCTCTCTCGCACTTAGACGGCACGCCCCACGAGTGCGAGAGAGACAGAGCGACGAAAACGCCTCTCGGAATCAGTCTGCAGGCTGATACAGTCAGGTGCATGCAGTGGGGGCGCAGCACAAAGCGCAAAGGGGTGCCGAGGGTGCCGCACCCCCGCGCCCTACCGCGCCCACCCCGCCGCCGCGTGGCGTAGCGGGCGTAGCTGCCGGTGGAGGGGGAGGGGTACCACGCGGTGCCGGCACCATCTATCGACTGCACCCTCCCCCTCCCCCTCCCCTGCCGTCCGCGGCTCCGCGGCAAACAAGGAACAAGTGCGGGGAGAGCCGCGGTCCCCCTCCCCTCCATTCCCTCTCGGGGCATCCCCTAAGCGTCATACCACTCGAGGCCCACGCAATTCCAGGTTCCAGGGCCGCCAGGGCCGCCAGGGCCCGAGTACAAACAGCAGCGCCGTCAATACACGCAGTGCAGTCACCCCCGAGGTGACTGGCTGATACAATGAGCTATAGCGACTGGAGACGCTGACTCCGAGGCTCTGCTTTCGTCGCTCTGTCTCTCTCGCTCTCAAGGAGCGTCCCGCAGCGACAGAGACAGAGTGACAAAGCAGTGCACAGTGGGCCAGAAGAGGCGGCCAAAACCCCGGACGCGTTTTGAGCTCCAGAGTCTCCAAATAGGACTCGAACCGAACGTGTGACCCCACCAACCGATTGCTCTCTGAACGGTGGGGTCACACGTTCAGTTCGAGTCCCATTTATCGACTCTGGAGCTCAAAACGCGCCTAAAGTTTTGTCCGCCTCCACCGGTCGTCTGGCCCACTGTGCGCAGGTGCTCCACCCTGCAGACTGATTCTCTATCAGACTGAAAGCTCTAGTATCTCTCTTGCACTCATGGGGCGTCGCCTACAGGTGCGAGAGAGACAGAGCGACGAAAACGACTCTCGGCACCAGTCCGCTGGGCCACTGTGCGTGCGTTCAGGTCACCCTCTGTGGCCAGCTGGTCCGGAGCGCTGCAGCCCTGCCATTCCCCAAGCCAAGTCGAAGCAGGGTGGCGTCATGGCAGCCGAGCTGCCGAGGAGTCGTTCCCTCGCTCTGTCTCTGTCGCACTCGCGAGACTGCCCGGGAGGGTGCGAGAGAGACAGCTGCATCGCACAGCTGGGGCTCTGACCTTTCCCTGGAGGCTTGCCTGACCTTGCCCTCCGCACACGCAAGTGCTAACCGCCGCTAAAACGACAACAACGCCAACTAAAAATACTCACGTGATCCACTGGTAGATCTCCTTGACGGTCAGCTTGCCCTTGTCCTTGAGGGCCAGCTCGATGAGCTCCGTGTAGGTGAACGGCGGCTTGCCCGGCCCGCTGTAGCGGTGCGCCTGCGGGTGAGGGTTGGCGGGGGCCGCGCTGGGGGCCGCGGGGGCGGCGGGGGGCGGGGGCCTTGGGGCTCACGCTGCGTGTGGAGGCGGCGGAGGAAGGCACGGCCGGCGGGCTGGCCTGGCCGGCCTGGCTGGCCGCCATGCTGGCCGAGGGCGGCGTCGTCGAGGCCTCGGGGACGCCGCTCTGCTCCACCACGACGGGGCCTGGGCCTGGGCCTGCACCTGCGGGGCAAGAAGGCACCGGTTTTGAGCTCCAGGGTCGCTAAATGGGGCTCGAACCGAACGTGTGACCCCACCAATGGATTGCTCTCCGAACGAGGAATCCACTGGTGGGGTCACACGTTCGGTTCGAGTCCCACTAAGCGACTCGGGAGCTCAAAACGCGTCTAGAGTTTTGTCCGCCTCCACCGGTCTTCTGGCCCACTGTGCGCACCCCGGCGACACCTACGCGACGCCCTAACAGTGAACGAGAAACAGACAGAGGCACAGCTTTAGGACGGAGGACGGGCAGGGAAGAACAACGAGGCACACTCTGTCTCCCTCGCACACCTACGCGACGCCCCATGAGTGCGAGAGAGACAGAGACAGCCTTCGAAGAACGGACGCTGTGGAGAACGCGGCACGCGCCGTGCTGGTCGCGCAGGTGTCATCTATCTGGACGAGGGGGAGGGGGGGAGGGGGCACACGACGGACACGGACTTGTGGGCGCCCGCACAAGGCGACGCACAACGGACAGTCGCACTAGAGACATCGGACTGATTCCGCTCTGTCTCTCTCTCGCTCTCATGGGGCGACCCGTACAGGTGCGAGAGAGACAGCGCGACGAAAACGACTCTCGGAATCGGTCTGCATGGTGGCGGACATGAGGGCGCGAGGCGCATTATCCAACCGTCTTGCAGCCAGTAATCGCGCACGTGTGCGTGCCTCTGTGTGTGTTAGTGTGTGAGAGGGGGGAGGGGGGGTATTGGACGGAGGAACGACCTAAGGCCGGGGCGCGAAAGCAAAGTGACTGAGTCCTTTGGCAATGACTGTACTCAGTTTCGCTTTCGTTCGGGCGACAAGTGGCACGGCATGACGTGTAAAAAAGGAGTTTCCGAGAGTGTGTGTGAGTGAGTGCGTATGTGTGTGTGCTGTGGTCGCTGGTCATTGAAAATGTATGGCCTTTCGTGTGTGTCGCCGGAGAAGGCAAAGCCGAAAGGTTGGTCTGTCCGGAGGGGAGACCACTGGCCGCGGCAAATGAAAAATGTCGCCAGGACTCCGCACGAATCAATCGGAAGTCCGATTCCGCCGGCCGCACTTGTGGCTGTCTCTCTCGCTCCCCTACGGCCTACGGCACACGCAATGAGTGTGAGAGAGACAGAGCGAAGAGTGTAGGGTCTAGGACCGACGAGACACCAGGTCGTTTTCCTTCCCTTTCTTCGCCAGGCAGGTGCTCGGCCCTGCAGACTGATTCCGAGAGTCGTTTTCGTCGCTCTGTCTCTCTCGCAGCTATACGGGACGCCCCTTGAGTGCGAGAGAGACAGAGCGACGAAAACGACTCTCGGAATCAGTGTGCTGCCCATTGGCTCTGCCTGCAGTCTGCAGGGGCGCGGTGCGCGGGAAACCCAAATATCGATTTGGAACGCCGGCCGCGTGATTCAGCAGCCGGAAGTGACGTCACTCGGAGAAAAGGAAAGGCAGTGTTGCCACACAAGTAGGCGAAAATTAGCGCGATACACTAATAGTGTCGAAAGGGTAGCCTGCCGCCTGTCGGTTAGGCAATTTCTTTGCCTCGCTGTCAAGCGGACAGGCAAACGTGTCGCAAGGGTTGCCTACCTCAGCCTGCCTCGCTGTGGGTTGCCTAGCACGCAGGATGAAGTTGGCAACCCTTTCGACACTGGTGCATCGTGAAAATTTTCGCCGGCAACACTGGGAAAAGGGAAAGGGGGCCGCCTTCACGAGGGCTGCAGGTTTTGGCGCGAAGCAGCGCCATGCTGGAAGCAGACGGCGACCGCGGACACGGTCGGTGAGCACCACCGGCACAGTGCACGGCCGCAGGGGTGCGCTGCACAGTGGGCCAGAAGACCGGCGGAGGCGGCCAAAACTCCAGACGCGTTTTGAGCTCCATTGCCGCTAAATAGGACTCGAACCGAACGTGTGACCCCGCCAGTGGATTCCTCGTTCAGAGAGCAATCCATTGGTGGGGTCACAGGTTCGGTTCGAGTCCCATTTATCGGCTCTGGAGCTCAAAACGCGTCCAGAATTTTGGCCGCCTCCGCCGGTCTTCTGGCCCACTGTGCGCTGCCGCGCGGTGGCACGAGGGCGGATGTGGGGGGATGTGGGGGCGGGGTATCATGGTTTTTCGGGACGCGCTCAAACCGAGACCAAACCGGAAGACCGGTACTCGACTTCCCTCCCTCTGTTCGCAGTGTCGCCACTTGGATACAACCGCGTGCCTGCAGAGGTTCGTTTAGCGCAGGGAAGTCTTACAGGACACTTGTTGACGTACGGCCCGTGTCACAGCCTGCAGACCGATTCCGAGAGTCGTTTTCGTCGCTCTGTCTCTCTCGCACTCATGGGGTGTCCCGTGTAGGGGCGAGAGAGACAGAGCGACGAAACCGATCTTCCGGATCAGTCTGCAGCACTGGAAAAAAAGGGCGATGATCGTGACATCAGCTGGGGTGCCCCCTCCCCCCCCTCCCCCTCCCCTCCCCCTTCCTCCCGCTGCACACAGTGGCGTGACGGGACAGGTGTGGTGCGCGCTGGGTGCGTGCCGCCCACGCCGCGTGCGCGGGACAGCCGAGCGGTTCAGAAGATCGGTTTCTCGCTTTGTCTCTCTCGCACCCTTGCGGAGAGCCCCATGAGTGCGAGAGAGACAGAGCGACGCGGGCCGGGCAGGGGTGTGCGGTGCGGGCGCCGACGACGCGGGTCTGCCGCCAACGTGGTTCACGACGCTTCACGTGCCCCGAGTACGCCGTCGTTACGGTCGTGTAGTGCTCCACGCTCCGGACAAAGGATGCCGCTCTCTGCCCGTCCAAGGTGCATTCGGCCGTTCCAAAGGCTTTAGCTGTACGATCGATGCACGTCTTGGCTCCGGCCGCGGACGCACAGTGGGCCAGAAGACCGGCGCCGTCGGCCAAAACTCCAGACGCGTTTTGAACTCCAGAGTCGCTCAATGGGGCTCGAACCGAACGTGTGACCCCACCAATGGATTGCTCTCCGAACGAGGAATCCATTGGTGGGGACACACGTTCGGTTCGAGTCCCATTTAGCGACTCTGGAGATCAAAACGCGTCTAGAGTTTTGTCCGCCTCCACCGGTCTTCTGGCCCACTGGGCTCCGGCCGCGGACGCCGCGGACAGGGAGGGGGCGCAGCACGCCGTCGAGGCCGCGTTAGGGGCGGCGTGGCAGCTAGGTTAGGTGGGGCGCTACGCTTACGAGGTACGCGAGTCGAAACTTCCAAATCCAATGAGACTTAACAAGCTTGCGGATTGCCCCCCGGGCCTGCATCGCTCTGTCTCTCTCGCACCCATATAAGGGCGTCCCATGAGAGAGAGGGAGACGGAGTGACGTCACTCAAAGGGCCAGAAGACCGGTGGAGCAGTCAAAGTTCGAGGCACGTTTTGAGCTCCGGAGTCGCTTAAATGGGACTCGAACCGAAAGTGTGACCCCACCAATGGATCGCTCTCTGAACGAGGAATCCATTGGTGGGGTCACACGTTCGTTTCGAGTCCTGTTTAGCGACTCTGGCGCTCAAAACGCGTTTATGGTTTCGGCCGCCTCCACCGGTCTTCTGGCCCACTGTGCGTCAGCCCGCTCATCGCCCACTTACCCCTGGACGCCATTGACGCCATCCTACAGGAGGCGCCGCCCGCGCGGAGGGCGCGCGTGGAGATGAGCACGGAGCGCCGACGCACCACCACGTCGGGCGGCAACGGCGGCATGGCCGTGGAGGCCGTGCAGGCCTTGGCGACGAGGACGGCGATGTCGTCGGCGGACAGCGCGGGGCGGCCCGCCGCATAGAGGGTGCCGACGCGGCGTCGCGGCGTGCGTGCGGTCAGGTGCGCGCCGCGGACACAACTGGGAGTCCGGTTACTGGACAGCCAGGCCGACGCCGACACGCAGCGCGCCCTCCGCTGACCGGCGGGCCGCCGCCACCGCCACCCCGCGCCGCGCCAACCGCCGGCACATCGGCCACCCCGACCTCGCCGCCGCCACGCCGCCGGCGAGGGGGGCAGCGCGAGCGCGGCCGGGACGGTACCCGTGGCGTGGAGGTACTCGCACCCCCTGCCCGCCCCGACCACTCGCCACCCGGCGGCGGCAGCCCCCTCCTTCTTCCTGGTTTTCCAGAATCCACCAGCAGGCTGATACCGTCAGTCTCTCTCGCACCATCATGGGACGCCCCAGAGACAGAGCGACGAAAACGAATCAGTTTACAGTGCACAGCTCCGCCAAAACAAGCCCGCCGACGAAGGAGCGCGTGCTGTATTTTGAAATTGGATAGTGGCTCCGCTCGCTCCGCTCCCCCGGCACGGGCCCACGGCGGACTGTCAGCCACCCCGCGGCACCGCGGCACCCCGCGCACCCCGACCCGTCCAGCCGTCCGTGGGTCTGGGCGTCCACGCGTGGGTGCGCACAGGTACTACCGGCATGGTACCGGTACGTCTCCCGGCTGTGCCTGGCCTGCCTGGCCTTGCCGCGCACCCTCTGTGCAGCTTGCGCAGCTGGCCGGCCTGGCCGCCAAGAATCATGCCGTCGGGCACAGTGGGCCAGAAGACCGGTGGAGGCGGGTGGAGGCAGCCAAAACTCTTGTGGCGTTTTGAGCTCCAGAGTCTCCAAATGGGACTAGAACCGAACGTGTGACCCCCACCGATGGATTGCTCTCCGAACGAGGAATCCATTGGTGGGGTCACACGTTCGGTTCGATTTCCATGTAGCGATACTGGAGCTCAAAACGCGTTTATAGTTTTGACCTCCTCCACCGGTCTTCTGGCCCACTGTGTGGCGTCTTGCCCGCCCCTTTTTCCACGTGAGGCGGAAGTTGGCCCTGCAGACTGATTCCGAGAGTCGTTTTCGTCGCTCCGTCTCTCTTACACCTTTACGGGACGCCCCATGAGTGTGAGAGACAAACGGCAATGAAAGCGACTCTCGGAATCAGTCTGCTGAATTGGTCCACGCTGCCCACTGCCGTTTTCAGTAAATACCCCTCGCGGCACGACGGCAGCCTGTTGACGTGCTGCTACTCTGCTAAAAACAACTAAACCAACAACAGCCCGCGGGGCAGTGACGTCACTGTTGCATTATTGCCGTACCGCACCGTGCCGGGCCAGTCGGCCAGCAGACCGATTCCGAGAGTCGCTGTCTCTCTCGCACCTACACGGGACGCCCCATGAGTGCGAGAGAGACAGAGCGACGAAAGCGACTCTCGGAATCGGTCGGCCAGAATGCCAGAATCCGGCCTCGCAGTGAATGATTGAACAGCGACGGCGCTTGATGGCACACCGCGAGTGACAGCGGGTGGAGCACGCCACTGGCACGCCCTGCACGGGGTGGCCGAGCGATCCTGAAGATCGGTTTGTCGCTCTGTCCCTCTCGCACTCATGGGGCGTCCCGTAAAGGTGCGAGAGAGACAGAGTGGCGAAACAACTCCTCTGAATCACTCGGCTGTGCTTTGACGCCGCAGACAGTGCGACGTGACATTCGGAGAGCACCGCGATGTCGTCCTTACCTGTCGCCGCGTCGTCCTTCGGCGAGCCGGGCTTCGCCTTGGCCTTCTTCGGCTCGAACACCGAGTCCACCTTGAAGTTGATGAGCCAGTCCAGGTTGCCGAAGTCACTGTCCAGGGCGTCGGGCTGGGCGTGCGTCCTTCCCTGCGGCGCCGCGGCGGGGCTGGCGGCGAGCTGCAGCTCGTGCTGCTGAGCCTCCCTCAGGATGGCGCTGTGCAGCGAGGAGGTGCCGCCCAGCGGCCCGAGGTCGTCCAGGTCGATGAAGGTGGCGTCGGGCACGGGGGACGACGTCGCGGTGCCCCAGGCCTCGTCCAAGACCACGATCTCCAGCCGCGTGGCGTGCGGCGCCCAGATCTCCTCGATGGTCGCCTCCTGGACGAGCGCGCCGTCCTCGCCCAGGATCTGCAGGTCCACCAGCCGGGCGCCGGGCGCGGCCTGCCGCCGCCGCTTGTACGCGGGCACGGCGGGCACGTGCAGCACGGCCTCGGGGGAGTAGAGCTTGCGCTTGACGGCGTGGCCGCGGCTCGGCTTGGCGCAGCCCTTGGGGCCCTTGAGGGCCACGTCGCACAGTCGGGGGGCGATGTCGATCATGGTGGCGGTACGGCGTGCTGCCTCACTGGCGGCGCATGTCCACGCGGCTAGCCTCTACGTGCTCCGCGACTTGCGCGTGCTGCGCGCTGCGCCGTGGATCGCTGCCGCGCTGCACCCCGCAGACTGCGCGGCCCGACCGCCTCTGCGACTGGTGGCCGCGCCGACCGCGCCGCAGCCTTCTAGCCCGCCTGGCTGCTGGCCGCCGCGCTCCGCCCCGCACCCTGCGCCGCGCAGCCCCGCCGCGCCACGCCGCGCCACGCCGCGGGTTCACCTGCCTCTCATGCTCCTGGGCCTTCTAGCCTGCTGGGTACCGGAGCGCGGGCCCCCTGCCGCCACCGCCGCGGCCGCGGGCATCCCCTTGGTGCCCGGCCGGCACCTCCTTCGCGAGGTAGGCACCTTCCCCGGCTTGCCCGGCCCGGCTTGCACTGCCGCGGGGCCGCTGCTGGCTAGGCTCTGCCCGTCGTGGACTTGGAGAGAGAGCCAAAGGCAGCCAAATAGCCTAAATCAGCGAGCCAGCGCCTTCGACGCCTTCGACGTGCCGATGAGAGGACCAGGACGAGCATTGTTGGCGCGGCGCGGAGGTGCACTCCCCCTCCCCCTCTCCCCCACCACCCCGCTCGCCGCGCCGTTTCCACTGCAGCTCATACTATCACCCGAGAGTCGTTTTTGGACGCTCTGTCTCTCTCACACTCACTGGGCGTCCCGTTACAGGTGCGAGAGAGACACGCGGAATCACTGGCCTGCTGAACAGCCACCAGGAAAAGGGTTCAGTTTAAAACCCTCCAAGTCTCCCCCGCCATCGCCTCATGGAGACTCGGAGGAATGCGTACACTGTAGGCCCCACCGGGGCCAAGTGGGGCTATCTAGAGTACTAGGTCCTTCAGGACGCCAGGGTTACCCTTGAACCCCGAACTCCGAAACCCTTCAAGGTGTTAGGCAACCGGCGCAGCAACCGCCCCTCTCATGTGACGTTTCGAGAAGCTTCTCTCGAACGGTCTTGCAGGGAAGGTCCCTTTACCTCAAATACGTTCTGCCGTATTTTCTGCCTGGCGGACTCGGATATAATTTGGAAATCGTGGTTGAGAGACGCGTCTTAGAAAAGTTACAGGTTCCTGATGACCACTTTTCCATGCACGCAACCTTTGTCAATATTTTTTCGAGGTTTTGTTTTTTTGCTGCGTCATTTCGGCTTTCCCCGAACAAAGTCCGCAGGCCTTCCTCCCCCCTGGGTGGCTCGGCCTGCTCGGCCTGCCCGGCGGCTCGGCGGTTCCATCCCTTCCAGAAGGGGGTCGCGCGGGGGCGGCCGGGGGCGGCGCACGACGGCGACGCGGCGCATGGCACGGGCTGGTCCCGCCGGCGCGGTGCCTCGTCGCTCTGTCTCTCTCGCACCTAGCCGGGACGGCCCGTGAGTGCGAGAGAGACAGAGCGGCCAAAGCTCCGTTCGGAATCGGCCTGCAGCACCGTGCCGACTCCGGCACCCGAGTGCACCCCACGGTCCCCGGTGCACCCCTGTCCCGAACAGGCAGTGGGGTGGCGAGGGCGTCGCACAGTGGGCCAGAAGACCAGTGCAGGTGGCCAAAACTCTAGACGCGTTTTGAGCTCCAGAGTCGCTAAATGGGACTCGAACCGAACGTGTGACCCCACCAATGGATTGCTCACCAACGATGAATCCATTGGTGGGGTCACACGTTCGGTTCGAGGCCTGTTTAGCGACTCTGGAGCTCAAAACGCGTCTAGAGTTTTGGCCGCCTGCACCGGCCTCTGGCCCACTGTGCGAGGGCGTCGCAGACAGTTGCAGCCGCAGACTGATTCCGAGAGTTGCTTTCATCGCTGTCTCTCTCTCACTCAGGGGGCGTACCATGCAGGTGCAAGAGATACAGAGCGACTCAAACTACTCGCCGGATCTGTCTAGCCTGGGCGTAGCTAGGAGGGAAGGGACGGGGCAAAACGACTCAACCTGCAGTTCCAGCTGGCACTCAGTGTCAGCAGGGAAGCCCAGCTGTGGAACGGCCTCTCAACCAGTGCTTCCTGTTCATGTCCACGGCCCATGCCGTCGGTAGCTTAAAAGGGGCAGAACCTCAAATAATAATCATAAATAATCACCAGAGTTACTGGAAGAGTGAAAGAGTCATCGAAACGGGAAAATTGTGTGGGGATCCTCATCTGCCCCTCTCTTGTTCCTCCATCCTGTGTCCTGAGTTTGAGCGGAGAACGAATTTACAAAAATTAGCTCAATTTGGGTTGGTACAACATGCTTTAAAATAAGTAAGATAACGCCCCCCCCCCCTCGATCCGCCCTGAGTTCTCCAAGTTGGAACTTCCAAGGACTCTATGCTGACGCAGGAGCCTGATTCGACTCTATCGCACTCACGGGGCGTCCCTATGGGTGCGAGAGAGACAGCGACGAAAGCGACTCTCGGAATCGGTCTGCAGTTCTGCAAAGCGCCCCATTCAAACCGCGCGGCCGTTGGCGCCAGAGCGGCTGGCCAATCAGGAAGCAGGAGCCGAGTGAAGGAGCCGTCCGGGTCCGGTCCCCGCTGGTCGAAACTCTGGCTGGCTGCGAGGCATCGCTGTTCCAAAGCCAGACGAGGTAGGACTACTGTGAAGAACAAGTAAACAAAATAAACAGGAGTTATCAAAACAAACACATCTTACTGCTAGATTTTCTCCGTAATCCTCGTCTACATGATGGAATTTGAGGAAATGATGATCGGTGGTGGAAACGACGGTGACGAGGTAACTAGATTACACATTCTTTCCGGGTGACGAGGACTCTGTATGTGGTTTTGAAGTGATTCAAACTCGTCGTCTGTTGTGTAACGTTTCAAGGTTTTCCTCACCTGTTATTGACTTGGGGCACAGAGCATGTGCTTGGCTGTTTAGAAAGCTCAAGAAATGGCAACCTTGGTGATTCCAGGTGCTTGCGCTCGCATAGGTATTGGTTTCGAATCGGTTTGCCTCCCTGCCAACCCGTGGTTGAAAACCTTGACGCGTCACTCGCGCCCTGCATCAGCAGTTCTTGTAACCTAGGCCTAACTTGCTAGGTGCTCTAGTCTGGCTGCTTCCCAGACCACTTCTTTGTCCTAGCTCATCCATATATCTTGGCAGTTTGACGAGACTGCTGGCTGCCACAAAGACAAGTTGCTTCAGTCAATAGAATATTATTTGATTTGATTCGTTTCCCTTTTTCATGAAATTATATCATGCTAAGATGCCTGTTGCTTTTGTTTGGTTTTAATACTTGTAATAGACTTCATGATTTTTTAGTGTTTGTATGTTAAATGCTCTTATGTCAATGGGCACAAATATGGAATTTTTCTTATCGTGCATCACCACTGATTGAAAATGCTACAAAGGGTTTTAAAGACTAAACTTGGAGTTCTTCTGCCTTCTAGGATGGATCTCGCGAAAGAAAAGAGGGAGGCAAAAGGGGACGCAAACCGGGAAGGAAGGCCTCGGAAAAGTCCGATGTTAAAGCCAAGTTAGGTAAGTTTGCCCACACAAGTTTGTGCACACATTTTCCATTTTTCTTAAACATAATTTAAAAATGCATTCAGTTTGTTAATTTGTGTTATGGTTTTATTTCTAGAGCGAAGTCGGCAAAGTGCTCGTGAATGCCGTGCAAGAAAGAAGTTACGTTATCAGTACCTGGAAGAGCTGGTTGCAGACAGGGAGAAGGCAGTGCTGGCACTGCGCCTCGAGATTGAAAAGGTATGACCTTGTTTAATTATAATGCTCTCGGTTATCTTTGATTCACAAATAATTTAATAGACGTTGTTTTGTTTTTTCTAATTTCTGTCTTTGTTTCTTTCAATTTAGTACAAGGTTTGGTGCAAGGAGCTAGATGATGGACGGATACCAGACGGCTTCCAAGAGTTGCTGGAGGAAGTGGGCGCTCTAAAACAAGAGAAGTAAATAAAACACAATTATTCCTGTTACTCATTGTCAAACTCAAGCTCTAATTATGATCGTTTTCATTAATATTATAAATACCATTGCTGTTATTATCCAGTGTGAATTATATTTTATTGTTGTGCTTGCACTTGTCTGGCCACAGGTCTCAAAATTTTATATCAAAAATGCCAGTGGGAATTTAAGTTATGTATGTAACATTCCAACCCTTTCAAATCTGTTTATTCTAAGACTGTTACATAATGTTTTCTTTCTTTGAAATAGCCTTACTGAAGCCTAACTGCCTTTCTTTACAAATGATTTTTTGATCTGTGGCCTCAGAAATGCTAGAGTGTGTCATAACATTGTTCAAACTCATCTGCCTCGCCTGAAGGCCTCAAGATGTGGTTTGTGTCGTTGTCTAAGCCATTAAGTTTAAATTGGACAAGAATAGTTTTTGATGTGTGTTTTAAACTTTTTTTTCTTCATTTAGGTCTTTGCTTGAGCAAAGTTATACCAAATATTTTTAGACTATTGTGATTTCATTCATCTTGTCAAGTTGTTTGTTAATGTATTGGGTGTTCATGTACTGATTATAGTGGTTGGTTGTAGGAATATAAATTTGATTGTAGATCACATTTGATGAGTTTCTTATGTTAATTTGCATCGAAATGCACAGATTAAGTCCTTTTTTTAAAGCTGTTAACTCAAGTATTTTCTAATGCATAGTGTGCATTAGTAATTCACTTTTAGGCCCCAGAAGCAGCATTATGGTTTATGGGGTTTTATTTATTGACACCACCATTTAGTTGAGCTCTCTGAGCTTGAAGTTACTAGACCAAGCTTTTGTTTTATTATGTTTTATTTGTATCAATGACTTCCTTTCCAAATGTAAATTTATCTTTATTTTCATAATTTGGCTGAAGTTAAGTCTCAAACCTGGTCGTGTGTACACTAATCATAGAAATATTTTTCTAGTAGATTCTCTCATTTTGGGTGATGAGAACCTTAAATACAACTGTTGTTGATATTTTGTAGAATACTTCCTTTAATGTTCGCACATCAACTGTGTATGCATTTTCTCTACAATTACAGATTCTGTTGTGGTGTATGTTAATCTGTGTGGCTGTGAATACTGATGTGCTCCTAAGTGTAATCAGTATACCTGTCACCAAGATGTCAATTAATTTTAAACATAAAAATTATCCGAGTTGTCCTCTTTATCAAAATTACTCTCCTACACATGTTGTTTTATTTCAATGAGACAACTGCTGGGCTCTTACTTTCATTAGGTACCTTTTAGAATTTTTAAAGCCATTCTAGCTGGGTTTATGGATTTTTATTTTACATTGCTTGTGGAAGCTACATTGTTTTGTGAACTTTATTGTCTCCATCTGTGCTCTATGTCAGTACTTTCCCTGAAGGTATTTGTAGAGGTATGTGGGGGAGTGCAAGCGAGGGTGAACTCAGTACAGAATTGAGCCTGAAAAGGCTTCAGAAGCTTCCATTGTGTCTCTCTTGTAGCCTTTATTTTGTGTTTACTTGTCTTTTCATGAAGTTGTTCAATGCATGGCTGTGGACTAAGGCTTTGGAATGAAAGATTATGCGGGTAATAGTGATTATCGTAGTATAAGAACTTTAGTGTTGTAAGGAATGGTGGTACTGTTAAATTAAACAACTATGATTTATGCATCTTAATCAAGGTTCTGTTAATGGTTTTGAATGTTCCGACCAGTGGCTATCAATTCCTTTGCCATTTGTGATTTACCAAAATTGTTGGTTTCTTTGTACTTATTAATAATAAGTTCAGTAACATTGACTATTGGTTTGTACTACCACAGTATTAAAGTCACTAAGCTACCCAAGGCTTAATTCCTCCTGGATGTCATTCTGTATTTAACCTCCTTTCCTTCTCTCTGTTGCTTATAGCTTGGAAGCACAAACCTATCCGTGCCATGAGCGCTTTTGAAACAATCAAAATTGGTTTCCATCTATTTGATGAAAATATTGTTATCTCTTTATAAAATTTTATTCTCTTCTCTAATAGCAGCTTTGTTCAGTTTTCTTTCATTGATAGCCTTTATCAATTGTAGCAGGTGTTGTTTTTGTTTATTTTGTAATGAGAAGGACAAAATTTATCCGTCGGATGTACCTGCCATGTTGAACCTATCTGTTAAATTTTCTTTCTGTAATCAACTAAGAAACAAATGACTCAAGGAGCATTTAATGCACGCTTCATTTATTTTGTTGCATTGTCTAAAGGAATGGACGGTATGTATTTAAATTTGGATCATTTTAAGCTTCTTACTAGCAAACCTCTTCTGCTTTGAATTTGTTGCCAGACTCTGTAACTATGTAGTCCATGGTGTATGTATAAGAGCAGCCATAGTTCTGTACAAGTGTTAGAATATGAGTTTCATTCCCTGTGTGTTGTTTCTTTATGTGTTGGGGAAAGATGTCTATTTATTTTGACATGAGTTACAGAAATAAAATTATTTATGATTATTATTTTGGGTTCTTTTATTTAAATTTTCCATGTCTTTTGTTAGCTTTCACTTCACAAACATTTTTGCATAGTTCCGTAAGTCCAGATAGGTTCAAAGTCACATGAAAGTCAGTAGACGTACATATCTGTCTGATAAATAATCATCTGTAAATCGTCCTCTCTTGAAAAAGTTAAGTTCACATGAATAAATAAATAAATCGTCTTCATTCAATGGATAGTCCATTCAAATTACTTAAAAGAAATCACAAACTCTATCATAAGCAAGTCTTAAAAAAGCATTGGTCCTTTCAACAGCTGTAAATCTTTCCTGCATGAGCACTTTGTTGCTCACTGGAAAACTGGCATTGGGGCTTCTGGAAACTATCGAGGCATCCGATTCAAATCCACCTTTTGAAGTCAAGCTGCCAGATGGCTGCGACCACCAACAGAGATCTCACAGCCCTCACACAATCCCACGATGAAGCCCACTTGCTTGAAGATGCTTCCCCATCTGCACAAAAGTCTTGATAGCTCCTCAGGCACCGGGCCCGAGCCTGACTAGCCTTGTCCTCCCAATCGTCGGGGAGATTAAAGTTTTCAGAAGCGCCTGTTTCCTCGGTAAGGAGGCAAATAGTCGTTGGTGGGTCGAGGGGGAGGGGGGGGCGGCGGGGGCGGCGGCGGCGGTGGGGGCGGTCTTGGCGGCGGCGGAGGTGGTGGTGGTGGTCTTGGCGGCGGGGGAGGTGGTGGTGGTCTCGGTGGTGGCGGCGGAGGTCGAGGCCTCGGCGGCAGCTGTGGCAGGTATTCTCGTGAAGGAGGTGGCGGTGGTGTCGGCGGAGGTCTAGGACACCTTGGGTCCTTCGAACCCTGGTAGCATCGCAGTGGTGGCGGTGTTGGCGGGGGAGGGGGAGGCGGCGGAGGCGGCGGGGGTGGCGGGGCGGGGGCGGGGGCGGGGGTGGAGGCGGCCTTGGACACCTGTAACGTGCGTGTTTGTTAGAACTGTTCTTGACCAGCGCTCTGTAACTCTACGCAGGTGGCTGGGAATAACATACCTAGGATCTGGACTTCCCGGGTAGCATCTTGGTGGTGGCGGAGGCGGAGGCGGTGGTGGTGGCGGTGGCGGAGGTGGTGGTGGTGGCGGCGGCGGTGGTGGCGGCGGTGGGCATCTGCAATAAATTTAGTTTTAATTTCCTCGCAACATACAGTGTACCTGAGCCTGCAGGCTCGAGAGGGAAGTCCGTGCTCGACTCGATAGGCTGTCGACGGGCATCCTACCTTCGGTCAGTATTGCCCGGGAAGCAGTTTGGAGGACATCTTGGCTCTGTTGAACCTGGACGGCACGGAGGTTCAGTAGTTGGAGGCGGTGGTGGTGGTGGTGGTGGTGGCGGAGGTGGCGGCGGTGGTGGAGGTGGTGGCGGTGGCGGCGGTGGTGGCGGTGGCGGCGGTGGTGGTGGTGGCGGCGGCGGCGGCGGCGGTGGCGGTGGCGGCGGTGGTGGAGGTGGCGGAGGACACCTGATGAAAGGTAAACATGCGTTAAGAGTCAAGTGCGGCCCATCAGGCATCGAGTTTGATGGTTTCATTGGCGGCCAGTAGATAGTACCTTGGATCTGTGTTTCCTGGGAAGCAGTTAGGAGGACATCTTGGTTCTGTTGACCCGGGACGACAGGGCGGTTCTGTAGTTGGAGGAGGAGGAGGAGGGGGTGGAGGAGGCGGAGGGGGTGGTGGAGGCGGCGGGGGTGGGGGTGGAGGACACCTGAAAACAAAGAACGAACCTTTAATATTTATTTCAATTCCACGGAGGATAAATAAGTCCTGCGGGAGGTGTCCACCAACCTAGGGTCTGTGTTGCCAGGGTAGCAGTTCGGGGGACATCTCGGCTCTGTGGACCCTGGTCGGCACGGCGGTTCCGTGGTTGGGGGTGGTGGAGGTGGAGGCGGCGGTGGCGGCGGAGTCGGCCTTGGGTACGAGTACGTGGGCGATGTGGGCGGCGGGCACCTGCAGGAAGCAGCAACGTGCAACGTGTGTTGAAGATCGAGATTTCAGGAACCACGCCACTAGTTACACTGTGGCCGATCTGCAACCACAATCTGCAGACTGATTCCGAGAATCGTTCTCGTCGCTCTGTCTCTCACGCACTCATCGGCCCTAGTATAGATGCGAGAGAGACAGAACGACGAAAACGACTCTCGGAATCAGTCTGCTGGCGGATTCATCCACTGACCTGGGGTCCGTGGAACCCGAGAAGCAAACGGGCGGGCATTCCGGCCGAGTTGAACCCGGGTAGCAGGGCGGCGGTGTGGGGGGCGGGGGAGGAGGAGGTGGTGGTGGTGGTGGTGGTGGAGGAGGCGGTGGAGGTGGTGGTGGAGGAGGAGGAGGAGGTGGAGGAGGTGGCGGTGGAGGAGGCGGTGGAGGTGGTGGTGGAGGAGGAGGAGGTGGAGGAGGTGGTGGTGGAGGAGGCGGTGGCGGCGGAGGGGGAGGCGGCGGAGGCGGCGGACACCTGAGAACGAATGAAACCGGTTCAAGACTGGTACTGACTGACTGGGGACTGGGGCGTGACCCAGCCTCTAATGGTAATGGTAACGACTGGGTAGGCAATACACTGTGGCGCTCGGTCGGGCGGGTTGCCTATGCCGTCTTTCGCGGGCGCTCTCGCGGACACTTACCTCGGGTCAGTGTTTCCTGGGAAGCAGTTGGGGGGACATCTCGGTTCGGTTGATCCAGGGCGACACGGAGGCTCCGTGGTTGGAGGCGGTGGCGGCGGTGGGGGCGGAGGAGGAGGTGGGGGCGGAGGAGGAGGCGGCGGCGGGGGTGGGGGAGGCGGCGGGGGTGGAGTGGGTCGAGGACATCTGGGGTCTGTCGACCCTTCGAAACAGGTTGGTGGGCACTTGGGATCAAACGAACCCGGGTAGCATTCTGGTTCGGGAGGGAGGTACCCCGTGGAAGGTGGGGTTGGAGTCGGAGGCGGGGGTGGCGGTGGGGGCGGTGGGGGCGGTGGTGGTGGTGGTGGTGGCGGTGGTGGTGGCGGGGGTGGTGGAGGTGTCGGGCACCTGGGGTCAGTAGCTCCAGGGTAGCAGTTGGGGGGACATCTTGGGTCTGTTGACCCTGGGTAGCAAGGATTAGGGGTTGTTGTTGGTGGAGGCGGTGGAGGTGGAGGCGGCGGTGGGGGTGGGGGCGGAGGGGGCGGCCGAGGACATCTCGGATCTGTCGCCCCTGGGTAGCAGTTGGGAGGACATCTAGGGTCTGTAGACCCTGGGTAGCAAGGATTTGGGGTAGTTGTAGGAGGTGGTGGGGGCGGTGGAGGCGGTGGTGGAGGCGGTGGTGGCGGTCTCGGACACCGCGAGTCCGGGCTGCCGGGGTAGCAGTTTGGCGGGCACTGCGGGTCGGTGGACCCCGGGTAGCAGGGGTCTGGCGTTGGCGGCGGCGGGAAGGGTATGGAGGGGCGGTCGTAGTTGTAGCCGTCCTGCCGCTTGGCGCGCACGCCGCGCACCGAGGCCTCGGGCAGGCCGGTCTCGCTCAGCGCCAGGGGGCCGGGGCCGGTGCCGTCCCCGGCATGCACCAGCCCGGCCAAGAGCACGAGCGCCTAGAAACACCAACAGCAGTGTGCTTCTCTAGCAGTGGCGGATCCAGAGTCGGCCCAAGGGGGGTCAAAGTAGCACTTTTTGCCTACTTACAGGGGCAATGTGGTGCTTTTTGCCTACCTTTCAGGCGGCTATCTAGGGGTCAAGGGGGGGGGGGCAATTGTCCTTTTGCCCCCCCCCCCCCCCCCCGATCCGCGCTTGTTCTCTAGTTCAACGAGACCCAAAGGTTCATGCTCTGCTGGGGTCAAAGGATGGACTGCACTCTGACTCCCAAAAGAAAAAAGCGGAAGAAACGAAAATTTTCGGATTAAAATTGTAAGTTTTTATTAACAACCTCCCGGCGGGGTAATGTGCGGCGTGGGAATCTAGCGGGGAAACATTTTGAATTTTAACGCCGATTCGCGGAGATATGGCCGTTGCTTGAAATTTGGCGATTACTTTTTGGCACAGTTGCATCGTGGGAATGTTTGCTTACTTGTAGTGGCAACACTGAGTTTTGCGTACTTCATCGCCGATGGAAAAAATAAACGGTCAACCCACCACGCACTTAAAAGAAACCAAACACGTAAAAAATGATCCGTTAAAGGCACTAAACCCCTCTGTTTAATTTTTTTGTACGTGATCTCTCACAATTCCGTGCAAATTTAAACGGAATTTCCCACAAATTCCTGCCATTTTGCGTCACAAATTTGTGAGTAAAATTTCGCGAGGTCAAAATAGTGAGTGCCAAATTGCACAAAAATACATTGACTGTGTGGAATTTAAGTTACATCTGCTGAACAAGAAGGCCTGGGCCAAACTGACGCGCGCACAGTGGGCCAGAAGACCGATGGAGGCGGACAAAACTCTAGACGCGTTTCGAGCTCCAGAGTCGCTAAATAGGACTCGAACCAAACGTGTGACCCCACCAATGGATTGCTCTCCGAACGAGGAATCCATTGGTGGGGTCACACGTTCGGTTCGAGTCCCATTTAGCAACTCTTGAGCTCAAAATGCGTCTAGAGTTTTGTCCGCCTCCACCGGTCGTCTGGCCCACTGTGGCGTGGCGCGACGACTTACCCACGCGCTCGCTGTGGACAGCCGCATGGTTAGTCCCGTGGCGGCGTATCCATGCTAACTGACAGCGATTCGCCGGGACCACACTGCCCGACTGCCACCTACACCCTCTTGCAAACACAAACTGCAGTTGACCCCAGTGGGCCTGCCTCTTTTATAGCCTTAGAGGTAGGTACCCCACCAGGCTGGGCCCCCTTCAGCCTAAGGCTGCCGCGACCCGGCGGGGGGAGCCCCAGGGCATTCCAGTGGGGATGAGGAGCAACGCGAAGCTGCGCCAAGCCCAGCCAGGAGTGGGAGGGCGCCGGCCAGATGGCCAGACGGACAGACTGACTGACTGACTGACGCGGGGCGGTACTTGCGAGTCGTTATTCACACATCACGCCAAACGGAAC